CACTCTGGGTTTCAAGGTCATTTCTGAGGTGACGAGAAATCTCGTCACTCCAGGTAGTCAAGAGGTTAATAAGATTCACACAGATCACAGATGTTAAAAGCATGTAAGGAAGAAAAATCTAAAATCTAATATCAATTCTTTAACCTCTAACCTTATATCCAATATCTCTCATTGAAATTTCAAGTCATTGCCAATTCCCAGTATGCAGTCTTTATTAACATTCCTGAGCCATGTTCAGGACAAGCTAATCTTCTTAAAGGGGAAAATGTAACAGTTTTTGTCACACTGTAACACTTCCCCCCTTTATAACAAATATTCGTTCTGAATAGGTTCAATCGATATAACACATACTTGATGATAATATTTATGTTATTTTTTTATTATAGTGGCATAATTATTGATTACTTAATTTTAGAATCAATTGCAGATATGAGGGGGGGGGGTGCACTCCCACAGTGGGCCAAAAACTAAAAAAATGTAGGGCCCAAAATCTGCTTCTCCACAAATACATTTAAGGCAATTTGGGCATTATTTCTTAATTTTCAGCCTATTTTAAGAAATTGTGCACAGAGCTACACTCTCAAAGGTTTCAATTAAATCAGAAGATTTTTCATGTTTTTCAAGCTCAAATTCCAATTCAGTAGGCATCTTCTACCATTGAAATCTTGTCTTTTATTTCATTAGGGAGCTCAGTTGATGAATGGATGAAAGAAACAGGTAATTTGGTTAACAGAAACTCATCAGCGGCCAATTCAGTTGGTGACCATGTAAGAAAGTCAGACATAATATGAAGAAATACCCTTTTCTATCCTTTAATTTTGCCTTATTGACACTTTGAATGAGAACTTGTCCTTTCATCTTGCTTTCCTCAGTCAGACTTAATAAGTCTATTAAAATTGATTTGGCCAAGACCCAGAATTGTATACTTCATAGGGATCTGTATTAAAATGGTTTACGTGGTCTCGGTTGTGTTTTCAAGTATTGCTCTTTGTATTTCTCAAAACTACCCTTTACAAGTGCTAAATGCCACTTTTACTCTTCAAGAATGGATTGATCAGCCTGTATCAACGGTTTTCTTAACCAATGAACAAATAACTCTCACATTCATACTCAAAATAAAATGCCATATAAGCTACATCTAAGCTCATATCAGCATCTTTTAAAATCACATGTTATAATCAGAGGGAAATGCGGCTACTGGTTTGGATGAGGGTAGAGGATAAAGCAAAGATCACGATGACATGCGACCCATGAAGAAAATTCCATTGGTGGTCAATTTTCAAAAAGTAAAATAAGAAGTAGGAAAAACATGCAATAAAACACAAAGACGTGTAGTTGACGCAAAAAAATTCAAAACCAAGTCCATAAAACTGATGAGTTCATTCAAAAAGTTAAGAAAAAGAGTAAATTTGCATGACCAGCAAGTACTTATATTCAAGGGTATTATTAAAGGTCAAGAATGCACATTCGATTAATTACACACTCTGATTTGATTAATTATGTTCATGATTTGATTATAGAAATTAGAAAGGAAATGTAATCTTTATAAATGTTCTTGAGTAAATATTGACATTAGTTGTGTTCCTTTTTGATTCAGGCAGAATTTTTTTGAATTACGGGATCGTTTCATATTGAATTGCTTGATTGTTTAATGTAGATTTAAGGATTTTCTTAAAAGTAAATGGTGAGGCAGCTGAGGTAATTGCCTCACTAAACTTTTACCAACATTTTTTATTTCAGATATTTATTTAATTAAAATAGTGAATATGAAGTTGAAGAAAATAATATATCTTTATTATTATTAGCCTTTTTTGTCTTCATTTTTGCCTTGAAATTAAAAGACACATTATTTGAATTTCAATTAAAATACTACAAAATGCTTAACACTGAGAAATGCATAGTCTCCCATTCTATTTGTTTGACTTATTCTACGTATTAATTATAAATAATCTTTAAAAAAATATCCAGAAGTACCTTATAATGATGTCGCATTTAGGACCTGTGGGCTCACCATTCGTCACCACTGTGTGAGTACTTTGGGGCACGGCGGAGCACAGCATGGATTCACGGTGGGCAAAACAAACAGTTTTACAACAAGATATCCCCAATCACACCACATGCAAAAATAGATTAACTAATTAGAAAATTAATCCTCAAAATTAGTCGATTAGCAGCGAATGGTTAACCCACACAGTTAATGTGACAGCTACTGACAATGTAACCGATAAAACTATAATAAGGGAAAACATGTTTAAAAACAATCGATAAATTATAAATGATTAACGGAATTGGATGCTAATGAAAGGCTAATGCAAGGCGTCCTATATGTTGTCTGATTTACGCTGTCTGGCTTTTCACATAATAGATGAAGAATTAACTGATTCTAATGTGCTGATTCACATGTTCTTACCCTTTGATAGACTGAATTACTATATCGCCCTCTTTAAAACAGTAAATTATGATAGTCAGAATTAACACGTTTTCACATTTCAACGTTTCTTAATATGTGAGTCGATAAGAGATAATAAAAATAATGACAAACACAAAGTGTTCACATAGGGAGGTGTTCAGATTAGAGAGGTGTTCAGAAATACAGGTTTTACTAAATTAAATAAAAATGGTGATATGGCATAGTTAGTGATGATCCAAAAATCAAATCTAAATTAAAATTATGTCACAGAATATTGAAATAAAAAGTGCATTAATTCACTCAAAGTTGATCATTGTTGTCAAACAATGAATTGTAAGTATGCAATCTGATTGGTTGGGAGTACATTAAGTATTTAGCTATGGTTGCTACATTTGAAATCAAAGATCGAGCTAACTGAATTATAAAAGAATTTGTAGTATATGATAATCTTTATTAATTAGTCTTAATGATATGTTTGTAGACAATACCCTTGAGCCAAGACTCAACTAGTAATTGTTATTCTCTGAAGAAGACAAATAATGTTGTGAATTAAATTATGAGAGGATTTCGAGATTATGATATTTGATTATGAATTTGATTTTAAGTCATTATTGTGTACAGTAATCTTCTATTGAAATTACCCTGAGGCCAAGAAATGATAATTACTAGGCTCTCAACTCTTTAGCAAGAATACCTAAATTAAGACACTAAACCCTTTGGCACATTTTTCTCCATTAAATCATGAAAGGCAAGGCCAAGGAAAGAGATACTTAACCTTAAAAATAGATAATTGCGGAGAAAAATTAGAAAAACCTAAGGCTGTGTCGTAATCTAATAAAAAAAAAGATAATCGTTACGCTCAAATAACAGATGATGATTTTACACTTTAGTGAATTAGTTAAATGGAATTGATGAAATAAGACTAAGTATTGTAAATTACATTGTGATTACATAAGTAATCTTTATTATTTTTTTAGAGTGTTATGATTTCTTTGTTCAGTTTGTTGATGACACCCTGGGCCCAGAAGTAATTCCTACACTCTTAATACAACAAATAAATATACAGTTTGGTATGATTAGATGATTTAATTATATGAATATTTGTAGAGTATAATAAAGTTTATTAAATAGAGTGTTGATTATTTGTGTAACCTTTTGTTGACTTTACCCTTAGGCCCAGAAAGATGAATAGTAATTAATATCTTCTGAAGAAGACAAATAATGTAATTTGATTTCATTTTTTTTATTTAGATTTTATTTATTCAGGGATATTTTATAAGAAAAACATATGTTTTCTTGTTTCCATTAGAACCCTGCAGACACACATACAGACTACAATTAACAATAAAATATGTGACAATACATATCATAAAATTAGAAATATAAAACAGTGTAAAATGGCTAGACAAGGCTATAAAATAAGCATTTAAAATTTACTGTCACACTTACATTCTTCTTCTATGAGAGCTATGGATATGGAATATATGAACAGCTGCTTTTGAAGGTATAAAATCTTGTGCAATTTTGAATATTGATCTGTCAGACCAGATGAGCCGAGATCAAAGGATTGTCTCTCATTCAAAGATTGAGGACCTGAAGCTAAATGAAACTATTGAAAAGGCTTGATTGGTTCTGTATTGGAATATTACATCATAGTGATCAGTTGTTATCGCTTTGGATTACATGAATTAAATAAATCCAGGCCCGTTGCCGGAACCCCTCCCCAAAATACAAAAATTCTTGCAGTTTTTGTTTCTGATTTTGAGCACTTTTCAAGTGATTATTGGTCAAAATTGTCAAATTTGAAATCAGTACAATCATTGGAAGGAGATAACATGTATTCCAAAGCTGGTATCCATTGATTGTTTTAGGTAAGGTCATCTAATGCCATAGTTAAGTAGCCATAGCAACTGTATCCCATTTCCCCCCCCCCCCCCGAAGGAGAAGACTCACAGCTCATTGTCACTATCTGCCCCCCCCCCATCTCCTCACCAAGGCATGGCCCACAGTCAATCCTTTTCAATCTCTCCCATATTTTTTTTGAATTATTTGTGCTGTTTGTTTAAAAAAGCTGATTATGTTTTTACAGTAATGTCGGGGCATCTAAGTGCAGAATGTTGTATTGTAGATAGCTTTGATAAATTATGCATTAGTACAATATATAAAAATAATCCTTTGGATGTTTTCTAATGAAAGGAATTAAGGTAGGTCAAGTATGGTCAATTATACATGAATCTGTACATACAGACATGTACAATCTGTCCAAAGTTTGTCTTATACTACCCACCTTAAAAGAATAGGAAAGATAATCCTTTGAATGAGATTCATAAAAAGGTTCAGCACATTTAACTAGGCTCATTGCTTATATAGCAACAGTGGTTCAGCAATATCGAGATACTCAGCATTTGATTTACAAATTAAATACACAGGGAGCTATAATGATAACTTGACCTTGTAAACTTACACGTATGTATCAGTCGTGACTCAACAATGTAATTGGCAATGGCTCTGGGAATATTTTATGCAGTGTAATTTATTCAATATGATCAATCCCCTATCACACTCAATACAAAGTGACCTGAATATTACAATCCAATACTCGCTGTGAGACACGCCAGCAAGTATTGATATTTTATGTATGATGTGAATGGAGCAATGGTGGCTGAAGAATCGGATGTTTTATCACCGAGAAAACGTCGTCTGACGGCTGCCATTTCGCACATTCCGCCGGCGGCACTCACGGGAATGTGTGATATTATCGGGGCAGGGGATAACGCGGATGAATCAATGGAAGATGACGAAGATCCTATGTTAATGTTCAACTGGAAAATTATAAATCCAAGTTGGCAACCAACGCTATTTGAAAAGGTATGTTGGTAGCTGTTGTATGTATGCAGACACTATGTGGAATAAATGAGATTAATGTACATGGATATAGAGTGAATGGAACTATGTAGGTGGTAGGGGGGCTGTGATTTCATGCAGTTTTGTGAGATGTCAATTTTCTTGTAAGGGCTAATAGATTAAATAAGGTATGACAATTGTTGTAATATTGTGCTGATTCTTGTCATATTATACCTATTCCTGTCATAGTATGCTGATTATTGTCATAATGTGTTGATTCTTGTCATATTATATCAATTATTGTCATATTATACTGATTATAATTGTCATATTGTGCTGATTCTTGTCACATTTAGCTGATTCTTGTCATATTAGAATCGCCAGCTATGTTGAGTAAATGGGCATGGAGTTGTATATATGTGAAGAAAATCCAGTGGGGGAGTGATTTCGTACAGTTTTATATGAGATGCTACTTGCGTTGTAAGGGTTTAATAGATGAAAATAAGGTATACCGAGTCTTGTATTACATAAGAATCAAAAGCTATGTGAGATGATTTCTAAAAGATATTCATGCAGGAACATTACTATTGAGAAGTATAGTAAATATTTGTGACTTGGTGAGTTTTTGTGACTTGGTGTTATTTCTTTCCAGAATATTATGAGGATTAAAGCTATAAGGAAGGTAGAAGGTGGATTTTATTAGAAATGTTAGGCATAAATAATTCTAAAAAAGATTAACTTGTAAATCAGTGAGGATCCAGCGAGATGTAATATATAGATATCACGAGGGAAGAGGGAGCGGTGATGGGGGGGGGGGTAAATTTCTCACAGTCCAAGAGGTTGCAAACATTGTAAGATTTTCAGTAAGTCAAAAGTACTGGTTTACTGGTTAAATGTACTGGTTTATTGGTTAAATGTACTGGTTTACTGGTTAAATGTACTGGTTTACTGGTTAAATGTACTGGTTTACTGGTTAAATGTACTGGTTTATTACCATCAGGTGATACAATATCGAACATATTAATTATAGATAGTATCTCCCTATAAAAAAACAATGTTCACTTCTTTCATTTTTTAATTTTGTTCAAGTCCTAAACTCATCGTCCTTCCTTGACCAAAATAAGAGTGTAGATAGCAAGAGGATCCCCTTAACCCTCCTCCCCCTTCAATTAGGCATGATGGGTGGCATTGTTAAACAAATCTAATCTAGTGAACAACAGGATTTGGCAGGGATTCATATTAAAATGTTTTACAAGGTATATGCCACGTCTATTGGGATATTACTTACCATAGGGAATATAAACAGCCAGAGCAGACAAACAAATTATTTTATCCGTCTGCTCATGGTTATTCCTCTCAATTTCTCTCTAAAATTTGAATGAAATATCTGATTTTCTTGCATTTCTATACAATTGATAGTGTTGACTACATGTCTGTTTACTTTATTCCTTGCTGATTCCACTCTTTTCCACTCTATTTTGCATTTCAAAACATGACCACCTTGTCTGATTTCTTGCATTTTTATACAATTTAGAGTGTTGACTTCATGACTGGTTGATCAAATCCTTTATTTTTCTTCTCTTTTCATCATAATTCTTGTTTTTAGACATGACACCCAGACTGTTTTGTCAGAATATTACTTCATTGATTTTGCTATATTTCTAGTAGAGCTTACCATAATGCATGACTAAGCCAGACAATACTACATACATATGTATGACAAGTTCCTGCTATAAGAAACATACAGTAAAATGCTGATTAAATTTTCTTCCTGGTCATTCTTTTTCCATGTGACCATGTGTATACAATGTCCTCATATTCTATTTCATTTCATGCTAGTTCTCTTCTCTTGATTGTTTCAATTTGCCTCATATAGAAAGTTTCATTTTACTTTATATTGCATGTTTCAATTTGCCTCATACAGAAAGTTTCATTTTACTTTATATTGCATGTTTCAATTTGCCTCATATAGAAAGTTTCATTTTACTTTATATTGCATGTTTCAATTTGCCTCATATAGAAAGTTTCATTTTACTCTATATTGCATGTTTCAATTTGCCTCATATAGAAAGTTTCATTTTACTTTATATTGCATGTTTCAATTTGCCTCATATAGAAAGTTTCATTTTACTTTATATTGCATGTTTCAATTTGCCTCATACAGAAAGTTTCATTTTACTTTATATTGCATGTTTCATTTTGCCTCATATTGAATGTTTCTTTTTGCCTCATATTGAATGTTTCATTTTGCCTCATATTGAATGTTTCATTTTGCCTCGTATTGCATGTTTCATTTTGCCTCATATTGAATGTTTCTTTTTGCCTCACATTGAATGTTTCATTTTGCCTCATAGAATGTTTCATTTTGCCTCATATTGAATGTTTCATTTTGCCTCATATTTAATGTTTCTTATGTTTCTTTTTGTCTCAGATAGTATGTTTTATTTTGCCTCACATTTTGCCTCAAATTGCATGTTTTTGTCAGGGTTATTGTCAGTTCAGGCACATTTAACATCATTGAATACAATATCTCCCACACCTAACTATTTCCTACCTGTACCCCCCCCCCCTTTAAGGTTTGAATAAATTGCCTGATTTTCATTCATTTCTATACAATTTAGAATGTTGACTACATGCCTGTTTACTTTATTCCTTGCTGATTCCTCTCTTTTCTCTCAAAAATTTGAATGAAGTGTCTGATTTCCTCGCATTTCTATACAATTTAGAATGTTGACTTTATGTCTGTTTAATTTATTCCTTGCTAATTCTACTAGTTTTCACTCTATTTTGCATTTTAAAACATAGCTGCCATAAATATTTCTCTTGGGCAAGAAACTGCATATCCTGCCACATAGGCTTATTAACTGGGGACCTGTCAATTTGTGATCAATGTATGATGTTATTCTGTGTGAATAATGATTCACCCTTTACTTGCTCAATGAAAATTTTTTAGTTGGAAAACAAACATTTGTTTCAACTGCGGGAATATATACCTTTTTTTCCAGGAAGACATTTTGAAGTGTAAAATAGTTATATACATATAGAATAAAATAATATAGTACTATATACTATCTGTATTATATTTTATAATAGATATGTACACGTATATTAAATATGACTAATATTAGAATACAATCTTAATTGAACCAATTTTGAAACAAAATTACTTTTTTGTCACCACCAAGAAGAAATGGCATTTTATTAAAGCCACCATTTTTGTGACTGCAGGGTGACATCCTGATTTGGTATTTTAGTGTTTGGCCATCAGTAATAATTGGTCTTATATATATATTTTTAAAATCAATGGTGTTTGACCTTATCCTTGTCTTGATTTGGAGGTTTTATAGGATTATTCAGAATTTTATAGGTTATTCAGTGATTCAAATGAAATACAGAATATTCTGTGCCCAAGAAAGTCTTTCAAGTAAAGGGCAATATAGTTAAACTCAGGTGGAGCACCTCTATAAGTAAAACACTTCTCCAGGACCCATTACCCATAACTTTATAAAGAAAATGAAACTCTGTAAGTCAAACACCTCCAAAGTTAAACACTCTTTTTAGGTACCAAAGGTGTTCCACTTAGACAGGTTGTACTGTAATTCCAAAGGTAGCATCCTAATCTTAAGATTATAGTCCAATTTTACACATTTATAAGTGTTTATGCTTACATGTATTGTAGGATATCAAATCACATAAATATTTTTAAGTGTTTATATGTATTGTCTAATGTATCAAGTCATATAAATAAGTTCTACAATATAATTTAGTATTTAAGATTTGCAGTTTGGAAATCATATGATTATTTATTTGAAGAATTCAGGATCTGTCAAGTTAAAGGATCATACCACGCAAATCCAAGCATTGTTAAAGGGACATATTTGTTATATTTTTACAATGTTGATGGGATGCCTCAGAACTGCAATATGTTGTATATAATCCAATTTAATGGCATATAGAGAAACTTGAAACATTAAATTATATATAAAACTTGATCAATAAACAAACATAAGTTTCAAAGATATGAGAAAAACTAAATATGTTCATAAAAGATAGGAGGATTAAAACTAGACAAAAGTATGAGACACAGAAGATGAGAAGTGATTTGGGATTTAAACTTTATTTTGAAGACACATTCAGTATATAAAATAAAGAATGTTACAACATGTGGAACTACAATATTAAGGATTTCCATACTTTCTGCCTCAGAATATGATAGTGCTTGAAAAAGGAACCTACCCTGATCCAAATAAATATATAGTTTAAAGAATTTTAAAAACAAAGGTAGAAGCGGTGGATAGTGCTAGATCTTTTAAGATGTCTTCTGTATATGGTAACGAGGAAGATAGGAATTTAGATTGGATGTCACCCGTGTATAATGCAATTCTGGCTATGGAAGATTCACCTGAGATGGTAATAGAATAACCTTATATCAAGTACACATCTTCACACTACCCTACCCCTATACATTTTGTATGTTATTATGAGCCTGTATTTCTTTAAAAGTGATATAGACAAAGATAGAGAAGGGACCTCATGTGAACATTTTTTTCAAAATGTTGAACCCATTGTCTCAAAAGAGGATCTTCTTTTTCTGATTTTTATTGCATGAAATGATTATTCAACAAGGGGTCTAAAATTTCTTCAAAATAAGAATGGTATTGATAGTTTTGAAGATATCAATTTTCAATGCCAAAAGTTGTCTTGGAAAGAATAGATAGCATAAGTTTTCTCCAAGGGAGAATATATTTGTAAATATTAATCTTTGCTGGGACTGGATTATGGCACAGTATTTATTCCTCGTTTTCAGTTTCAATCCCTCTTGTCACACAGCAGGCCCGTAGCAAGATTTTGCCAAGGGGGGTTCACTTCTTGAAAAATTCCAGGGAGTTCACTTGTGACAATTTTGGTCCAAAAATGGCCAAAATCACTTAAAAGTGCTCAGAATGGTGAAAACTGCATGGTTTTGAAAGATTTTTTGGCCGGGGGGGGGGGGGGGGGGGCTACAGGCCTGACACCAGTTACACAGCATTTCACATTATGTTCATATTTATCATTCATTTTCATTTCATTCATCCTAAATATGTCAATTTGATTCAATGTAGTATTTGGGCTCAGTTCTAATTATTGACATTTTAGCAACAATACAACTCCCACAAATTCACATTAAAAATAACAAAATAAATACACAGTAGGTGTATTGAAGGAATATTAACTCCATTGTGTCAGATGTGACCTTAAAATCAATTTGCAAAGCTAATGAATCCAATTAGATGTTATATATATTGAGAGTCCTTTATCAGAATTTAACAAAATCTTATCCCGAGCTAATTCCGCGAAAATTGCTATAGATTGCAGTACAATGTTTTATAAATCGTCGGCAACTTATTACTTGTATACTTTTTTAGACTAATGGAATATAAGCTCACATAGAAAAAATCTTTCATCAACTCTTTTGTTGATCGATATTGTTGATTGCTACCTACAGAATTCTGTAGAGTTAATGGACACTTATCATGCCTGTATGGGGTCATGTATGGTAGCTTGTTTGTTATCACAATGAGAGTAATTTCATTTTGTTTTGTTGTTTGTCCCTCATCTCTCTTTATTCTATTTTCCCCCTCTTCTGTCTTTAATATCTCCCTCTATTTTCTCCCTCTTCTCGTAAATGTCTCCTTCTATTTTCTCCCTCTTCTCTCTTTAATGTCTCCCTCTATTTTCTCGCTCTTCTCGTAAATGTCTCCTTCTATTTTCTCCCTCTTCTCTCTTTAATCTCACTCTATTTTCTCCCTGACACAATATTTGCAATCTAAAATAATAAATATAATAAAATCACATCTCAGATTGATCTTAGAATTAATGAATTACATGTACAGTAAGAACCTGTCTTGGTGAACACCTCTCTCTAGTGAACACCTGTCTCTAGTGGACACCCTTCCTCTGCACATACTCTTCTGACGTCTGTATAAATCACCCTCTCTGTAGTAAACACCTACCAAGACTGAACCTTTTTTTCTCGGTAAAAATGTTCAATATTCATAGATTTTACTGTATATGCAAGACTTACTGTAATTCGCAAATAAGTCAATGTTGCCTAAAACAAAATTTACGATTATTGTGACTGTTATTCGTAAATTTCCCCGATGCAGTATCAATGCTTTAAATAGCACCCGTGGGTATAAATCACGGAAATCAATTTAAAATGTACAAGTTGATTAAATGTTGACGTCACGTCGATTAAATGAATTGATATTGATGTTGATGTCATGGATTGCATGGGTCCAGCTAATAGATAATACATGTAGATACTGTTTTGTGTAGATTGGCATGGCGATCAGTATGGCCATGATGATCAGCATGGCTATTACTAATCTATCGTCGTGGCTACTGGCATGTGCCGATGTGACTACAGCCATGATTTTTACTGCATATAAATGAAATGAATAGCGTAAAATTGTGATTGTTGATTGGGATATATTCCTAGATGTTGCCATAGTAATATAATAGTTCATTTATCCCATACCAAAATTTCTTCTGTTCATGCTTATTTTTCTTTTTTCTTTCTAAAATTTGAATGAAGTGTCTGATTTTTTTGCATTTCTATACAATTTAGAGTGTCAACTACATGCCTGATTGGTTTATTATTTGCTAATTCCTCTCTTTTCCACTCTATTTTGGATTTCAAAACATAACTGCCATGCCAGTTTCCGATGTAGATAACGTTATAATGGAAAAGGATTTGTAAAGAAATCAATATGTACTTGTCAAGATCTAGTAATGCCCCTACAGGAAAAGAAAATCCCCAAATCCAGGAATTTTCTTTTTTTTTCTTTTATTCTAAAAAGTACAAAAAGGTGTACCTCTAAATTCTCAAAAATTAGTGAAGAAAGATGATTTGACTCAAGGATGTTATTGGATGACCCTGTAGGTCCCATTTAAAAGAGACCCATACAAATTTTGTATGGGTCTAAGTGGAGGTAGTAATCTAAGTGACGTTAGATGTGTAATTGCGTAAGAAATAATCATGATATTATTCACTATTTTCCAATAATCAGGAAATAGAAGTAGAATCAGTCAGTTATCTATCCGGATAAATGTTAATTTGAATGTTAGAACAGTCTTGGAAAAAAGTGATTCGTTAAATGTAATTATCTTCCAAAATTGTTCCAAACTGAAAACAGCCTTTTATTTGGAAGCTGTGAGCTTGCAAAAAAATCTCATATTTTTGTTTTTTTTATTTTCAGAATCAATTGCAGTGAACTTGCCCATAGTACCAAAATATCATATTATTCATTCCTCTAATTTTTCAGATTTGGCAGTACTGCAAAAATGCCATATATATTTATTTGTCTGTTTTTCAAAAATCATCAAAACAAACATTGGAGATACACCACAATATTATTATAGATATCTTATTATTTATTTTTAGCATCGATGAAAGGATTATGAAAAAATCTGCTGCAAGTTTGCTAATTATAATACAAACATGTCATATTTTTGTTCATTTATTTTTTCAGAATCGTCGAAATGAGCGTGAAGAAATCCGCCGCAAGCTTGCAATGGGTGATGAAGATTACTATGGGGGTGAGAGAACACTCAAAAAGCCTAACCTCTCAACAAGGCTTCAAAGTAAGGGAATTATTTTATGGATCTTCATTTGACTTAGACAACATAGTAAGAAGCCGGAGCATAAAAAATTATATCCAAAAAATTCTTAATAATAATAATAGGATTTTATTAGTACTGATGCCCTTTTAGGGCCAAACGTACATCCGATATACAATTTTCAATAACAGTAAATATAGCAATAAAGTAAAGATAAAGAAAATAAGATTACATTCTTCAAATGACATATATAAAATTTTACTTTGATATAAGAATCCTGTCTCTACCAATCATTAGCTAATATGATCCCCTCACTCGTCAATAGAAAAATTGTCTTTTGGTGGTCATTCATGTTTTTAAAATTACTACACAGGTTTTCAAGTTTTTCAATATGGGATTTTCTGATAAACTCCAATTTTTTAATATCTAATGGTAAAATGTCAGGCTCCAGTTTTTTCCCGAAATCAATTGCTCCCACCCGTATGATACCAAACTTGAAAACGGATATCTAAAATTATAAGCAAACAAAATCTTAGATTCAGAATGTTCAATTTTTAGGGTTTCTTTTGGTATGAAATCTTAGAACTGAACGTTTTTGGGCATGCCCGTAGCCAGGGGGTTGATTAATACAGAGGGTTTGAATATAGTTTTGGCCCTACCCACATGAAAAGTGCTCAAAATTGTCTAATTTTGAAATACTGTAAGTTTTGAACCGGGGGGGGGGGGTGCTCGAACTCCCTGACTACGGGCCTGTTGGGCATTCTAGAGAAGTGTTAAAAAGGTAGCAATTTTTTAAAATTATATTTTTTAGGTGGCATGAACCTCCAGATTTGCTTCATGAATGAGGCCCACGAACAGAGTGAAGCTGAGGCAAAATCCCCAAATACAGCTGAGGTAACTATTGTGCGAGGGGTGATTTTATGAGGGGAGGTTCTTAAATCTTGTGCGAGGGGTGATTTTACGAGGGGAGGTTCTTAAATCTTGTACGAGGGGTGATTTTACGAGGGGAGGTTCTTAACTCCTAAAAATTCTAAAACTTTGGAATTCTTATAAATATAAGGTATGTCAAATATTATAAGGCTTTGTGTCATATATACCTCCTGGGTAGGGGAAACCAAGTTTTGTTTGAGCAAAACAATGAACATTAAATTGATAGAAATTTATAATTTCAGTATTTGATAGGTTTTAGAGGATCTGAGCCTTTGTTAAATTAATGTCATGAAAAATTTGATGTTTTGCCCCTTTGGCTCTAAAGAAACACATTTTATTTACAGCCTACACAAATTCAACCAGTTCCAGCTGTTCCAGAAAACACACCCCCTCCCAAACCACCAAGGTTATCTCCAGATGTATTAGCAGACAGTTTACAAATAGAACGGAAAGAGGGGGAGGAGGAAGAAGATTTCTTGGCACGACAAGCTAAACTACAAGCAGATGCTAGAATGGCCCTTGCCCAGGTATGAAAAAATACAACTTCATGTACATGTAAAATCTATTTTTTGCTTATCATAGGTACCTGTATGTCAAATATTTATGCAGTTGAGCTGAATGTAGTCTTTTGTTACAATTATTGCTAATTTTCAAAACCTTTTCATGATTTTGTCTACAAACACAAATACACCCTTGCTTTTTGGTTCATTGAAAGGGATCAGGATTTGTTGAAAAGTTAAAATTACTAGTTTTACTTTTAAGGTTGGACTGATAGAAACAGATATCTGGCGAGGCTTATATAAGTCATGTACAAACAGGTGCAAAGTTTATTAACTGGGCCTTCCTTAATATTGAAAAACAGAATTCCGATTATTTTACAGATTTCAATCGAGCATTGTTCACTTTAAATTAAGGTAGCTTGAGCTGAATGAGCATCCTTATTAGGCTTATACAAGTCATGCATAAACAGGCGCAAAAGTTATTAAACTGCGCCTTCCTTAATTATTGAAAAATAAAATTCAGATTTTGCTCATTTCATATGTTGTTCAGAATGTAATCCAGTGTTTTGATTGACACTTTATATTAAGGTAGCTTGAGCTGAATGAGTATTCTGACTTGGCTTACATGTACATGTGTATAAGTTATACTAAAAATGATGCAAAGTGCATACATTCTGCCTATCTTAAGGTTACTGGTATAATACATGTATAGAGGAAAACTTCAGAATATTCTATGGGGATTATATTGTTACATTTGTTTCCCATGTTCATTATCTATTCTTACATATCCAGATCGATCCAAGAGATTTTGCCACTAAATTACAAGAAGATGTTAAAATGGCATTAGCGCAGGTATACTGTTGCATTATGGGTGGTGGTTGTGCATTGTGGGTAATAATTACACTTGTGTGTTTTAACAAAGTTATTAACCCTTTCTTTCTTTATTTTTTCATTAACCCTTGTCCTCCTGGATTAGTTACCTTACTTGGTCATCCTTGGAGAGTGGATAGGGAGGGGGAATGTATGGTGTTTGGCTTTGCAATTAATATTGTACATAGGTTTCCTAAAATAATTTTAGGAATATCTCATGAAAGAAATATTCACTGTTTTATGCAGTGGTTAATACGGTGCTCTCTGTTTCTATATGATTTTTAGGGGTTTGATTTGATTTTCAAATATAGCCCTTTGTACTGTTTGGTTGGTTTTACTGCATGGGTATTTTATGGTTAAAGAGGTTGTTAAGTGTACTCTAACTCTAACTTTAATAAATTTGTTAAAGAAGGTGTTAGGTGTACACTTACTCTAAATTGTATATATTCTGAATCCCATAGGTTGGTTCAGGAAGATGTTAGGTCTTTTGTGTAGTCTAAATTCCATTTTGTTTATTAAGATGTTAGGTACTATATAACTCTGACTTATCTATTCTAACTTGTGGATTTAATATTAATAACTTATATGTTTTAATTGCATGTGTTACCTTAGTTACCGTTACAGTAACCATAACAATATTAATTACTCAATTGTTTCACTATTCCATTGCTATTTACCAGCAGAACCAAACTGTCAATAAAAACATGTATTTGTTAAAAATATCTATTCTTAATCTCAAATTTTCTAATTGCTAATTGAAGCCTCAGTCACATTTGCTCAAAATGAATATAGAAAATCTGAATTGCACTGCTTATCTCTGTTTTATGATGCATATTTTTCATGATTTTGGGAAGCTTCAGCCGCTATATGGTTGCCATAGATCAAATGTGAATGAGGCATTAATAATGTAATCGTATCACAGGGAGATATGCCGATTACTCAATTAGTAGAAAATTTCTACTAAATTAGCACTCTGGCAAAAGTGCACTCATGAGCACTCATGCCACAAGTGCTAATTTAGTACTAATTCATGATATGAGTACTCATTTATTGTTGAAAAATCAATTTTATAAGTTCTATTTTATCACTCATGATATGAGTACTCATTAAGCGCTAAAAATCAATGAAATTAGCACTATTTTATCACTCATCATATGAGTACTCATTTAGTACTAAAAATGCGATAAATCAGTACTCATGTCATAAGTGCTCAATTATTACTAATATTTACTGAAATTAGCACTCAGTTAGCAATAAAATGCCATGAGTACTATTTCCCTTTTTCGGCATATCTCCCTATAATTTTGCCAAATCAAATACTGTATAACATTTGTTTTTGCTATATAGAGATGGATATATAGATGGCAGCACATGTATTGGTAGGGCCAGAATACTATTATGATATATAGACAACTGGCAAAAAGTCACTTAATTTCTTGATTTGTCCAGTATTTCCATTTGGATGTATGTAAAACTCCATTGGTAATTGGTATGTAACTGCCGTATATGATCTTGTTGACATCGGAATTGTGATTTATTATATTAAAATTGTGAACCTTAAAAGTGTAAAAAAATACACACAAAATTCTAATATGCCATCAAGTAGTAGTAATTAGTCTTTAATGGTTAAAAATCCAATCTCCTTAGATCTCATTAAAACGAAACTTCAATGAAATGTCAAAGCTATTTTACAAATCCTCTATTTGGCGAATATTCTAATAAAGCTCATACGTTGTTCTAACACGATAGTTGTTCACTGATTGGTTCAACACAGGTCACATGACAAAAAATATGATATATTTCCTCCGTCTCTGGGAGTATGAAAATGCACATGTACTCCCCTCAATAAAACAAATATTTGAATAATATTCATAGAAGTGTTGTATTTTGCTTTTTTAATCGAAAAAATAACTCTTACTGTTAGTTTCATCAGTTTCAAGAGACTTGAAAGCCCATCATTTCATGAAACTTTTAACGTTTTGTTGAATCCTAAGGGCAGGGAATCTTTCTTTAGTGGAATTAAATAACAAATAACCATCACTTTTGTACTGAACTTATACCAGTCTAGGCTAACCTTGGCACACGCTTGTATCAGGACATTTAAACCATGATTTTACTAATATTTTCTAGGCCCCTGCGATGGCACATATGCAATTACAAGTAGAAAAACAAGCCAAGAAAAAATCACCAATTGCTGAAATGGTAAGTTTACAAAATGCCTGTGTATGCATTTATGAAATTGAGAAGTTATTTCAACAAAAAACCTCAGTATGTCGATGTTGTAATTAGACAGGTTTTACATACTGTATTGTAAGTGTATTAAAGAACAAAAAAGACATACTGGACTGCTCCTTCATCAAATACACATGTATTCATACATGTACATTCCATCTCATAGTTTAAATTTTCATAATTAATTTGTAATACATTAAATGTATGATGGAATTGATATGAAATATTACAATTTTTGAAATTTTGTATTTCGCCTACTTTTAGGTGGGAATTCCTGGATTCGGAGATGGAAGGAGGAAAAAATTGGAGCGCCACCTATTGTTAGATATGAACATCGCTCAATTACAAGTCGTCGTAAATGACTTACACACACAAATAGAAAGTAAGTTTTCGAAAACATTTTTGTGAAAGATTTATTCAAGAAATAATCTATGTCTAGTAATTGTAACTGAATCGTATATTAAGCTGCCATTTTGACACTTGTTTTCCACTTTGTTTTTAATGTTTATAATCACTGTAATAACATGTTGATTTAACAATACATGTTTATAGTCACCATACCAATCTGATGATGTAACAAAACATGTTTCTAGTCATCATAGCAACCTCATGATATAACATTGCATGTTTATAACAATCACCATTGAAACCAGAAAACAAATGATGTTTGTAGTCACCATATCAACCAGATGATATAACAATGTGTGTAATAATGATCACTTGATGATGTATCAATTTGTGTAATAATGATCACCAAAGCAACTTGATGATGTAACAATTGCTGTGTTTCAGATCTAAATGAGCAGCTAATGAGACTGTTGGTTGAGAGGGATGACCTACATATGGAACAAGATAGCAAATTAGTTGACATAGAAGACCTAACTAGGTAAAACTTTTACCTAATTAAAGCCATAATGAAACCACAACAACTGATACCATAGAAACCATTTTACAACAACTGTTACTATAGAAACCATTTTCATGTCACCTCAAGAAGTAGTGACATAAAAGTCACCAACTTTTTTGTGGATGGTGTTCCGCATTTGGCACTCGGTGTCTGTAACAAATGGCGGGTTGTGACATTTTTCAATGCCTTGTATACCAAATAAAATTTTTTATTATTGTGAGAATGACTCAGCCTCAGATTATAAAATACACAATTTTTTATCATACCCAAATCCTCAACTTTCATCATCAACTATGATATACACTGATACCAATCTTTTATAAGAGTAAATGCTCCATTAGCTTGAGGAATTTCTCACATGGTCGCATATTTCAAAAGTTATTTTAAAGTTGGGAAACCAACCAGTTTATCATGAATTTTTATATATTCTTCAAAATATTTACAGGAGATACCAAGAATTGAATGAAAAATACAACACTCAATTACAACAACAACAACAACAAGATGTTAAAACTAGCAAGAAAAAAGGAAGTAGGAAAAAATGAGGCGGACTTTGATTTTAACCAAAAAGTTTTCCATGTATAAATGAAACCCAGACTATAGCACTACAGGGAGGTAATCTCCCATGAGGCAGTTGCAGAGCTTTGATTGGCCAATTGCATACAGGGAGGTATTCTCCCATGAGGCAGTTGCAGAGCTTTGATTGGCCAATTGCATGAAGGTGATATCCAATAGAATAGAGTATGAATGGATTGAAAAATACATTACAAGGGAGGGGTTCTCCCATGAGTCCTTTGCAGAGCTATGTTTGGTCCATCATCCCATATCTTTGTCCTATAGACCAGAGTATGGATGGAATTCTAGTATTAGACCATTACAGTAAAAGCAAATATTACTAATTTTCATTTTCTGAGTTGAACTGAAACAAAATTTTACATAAAGGCACAGTACAAAATGTACAGAAACCCTTCCCAATCCCAAATTAAGGCCAAAGTATGGTTACGGCCTATGCCACTGGTGCTAAATTTCACTATATGAGCATTTTCAAAATGAGACTGAGACTGAACATGATAATATATATCTAGAACAAATGAAAGCTTGTTCAGAAATGTTCATCAACAATTTTAAAATGCTATAAAGAACAGCCATTTACACTTATATTCACCGTAATTTGGACAAGGCTGAGATTACACTGAAAATGTAAACTTATTCTGGTGGTCCTGCCTTAAGGAACTCACGCAACCTACCTTAATGTTGAGTAGGTATGTTGAGTACACCCCCAATCCGCAATCAAATTATCAGTGTGGAGTTAGTACTAATTTAGTGTGGAATTAGCGCTAAACTGTCAGTACTGATTTAGTACCAATCGAGCTGTACAGCAGGTACAAAATTCGCACTTACTCAGCGCTAACTCAGCACTAACCTTAGTGGTGACTCTGCACCAAGTTAGCGTGGAATTAGTACTAAATTCGTGCGAATTTTGTACCAACTTTTAAAAATTATCGGGCATGAATTTTTGTATATTAATTGATAAAAATGTATTAAATTGACATTTTTATTAAGATCTTGTTTTTAATTAGACCATCAAGGGTAAGGATTTTTAAGGGTTATGATATCACCTGATTTTGATGTATCTTAGTTTCTTTCAGTTATTAATATTATAACCAAACAAATATCCCAGCTATAATACCATTAAAAACATAATACATTATCTTGTTAGGTATATATAATACCAAATTATAACTTTATTCATCATATCATTTACTGGTCTTAAAGGAGTATCGTATTGTTTTATTTCCTTTGGATTGAAGATTTACCACAGTAACTGTAAATTACAAAAGATTCACTATTTACACAATTTACAAAAACTGTCGTTCTGTATATAAATGATGATGACCCTAACTCCCAATAACATACAACTGGTAAATGTCATTGCCTTTACAAGGGTATCAGTTCAAAGGTGTAGGGGTGTGTTTAGTCCATAATTGTTTTTGTTATTCCTTAATCATTCGTTAATGCTAACGTCCTGTCATTGTGCCTTCTTATTCGCCAATTTAGTTCCCCTGATGTAAAATCGTTATACCTGAAATGATAAAAAAAGAAACGCTTATTTGAGGCTTCATCACTTTGCATTAAACATGCATATTCATAAGTTAAACCAATTAATCCATGATCGTGATTGCAGCTTACTAAGTACATCATATATGTATATTTTCTATGTATAACATTAACATTTCCTAAATAGCGGTGATGCAATATTATTAAGGATCCAATTTATGAGACATCAAGAGGACATGCTGTCATTGTTTAGTATCTATAGGTATAAGGCAATCTGAATTAATTCTGAATTAATCAATTAATTTGATAAATCAATACATACCTCGTGAAAGTTGTTCATAGTTTAACCATCCTTTTGAGTTTTTGCTCCACCCCCACAAGCTTTTTGTTGTTATAACTGATAACAGTTACCTGAAAATATAGTTTTCTATGAACATTCGCAGATTTGCTTACCGTAATAGTTAATGTAAATTAAAGTTCGAAATAATATCTTTGAACAAAGAATTCAGTTTGCATACACAAATTGTTTCCAATGTTTTTACAGGGCCAAAATATAATTGCTAGATTATTTTGTCATAGTTAGGGTTGACGTATTTACAATTTTATTATAGCCCTGTGAGGAAGCATAGGCTATTAACATGTTTAATTGGTGATATGACATGAGGGCATGAATAAGGTTATGAACATGGTAGGATGATGAAATGAATGGTGATATAACATTGGGGCATGATGATATAAAACAAACATGGTGATATAACATGGGAGCAGGTAATATGAAATGAGCATGGTGATATAACATCGGAACATGTTGATATAAAATGAACATGGTGATATAACATGGGAGCATGGTGATATGACATGAACATGGTGATATAACATGGGAGCATGGTGATATGACATGAACATGGTGATATAACATGGGAGCATGGTGATATGAAGTGAACATGGTGATATAACATGAGAGCATGGTGATATGAAATGAACATGTTGATATAACATGGGAGCATGGTGATATGAAATGAACATGGTGATATAACATGGGAGCATGGTGATATGACATGAACATGGTGATATAAGATGGGAGCATGGTGATATGAAGTGAACATGGTGATATAACATGGGAGCATGGTGATATGACATGGACATGGTGATGTAACATGGGGACATGGACATGGTGATGTAACATGGGAACATGGTGATATGAAATGAACATGGTGATATAACATGGGAGCATGGTGATATGAAATGAACATTGTGATATAACATGGGAACATGGTGATATGAAATGAACATGGTAATATGACATGGGGGCACGATTCCAACGATACGCTGAATAAGCAAAATAAATTATTATTAGATTTCCTAAAACTGTTAAAACGTTTACTCTACGCACCTAGCCTAAATGGCATAAGTATGTTGCATTCCCGGTTGCATTCCACATTGCTGATACATGGCCCTCCATCCATTGATTATGTATTGTATTCTTTACTGCCTTCACTCCTCATGATATGCCAACATCTAACCAATAGTGCCAACATCAAGTCTATAAAATAAAAAGGTAGCCTAGAAATGCATTCCCGATAAAAGAAAATGATCTTTTATAAAGAATAAAAAATTGAATTTAAAACTGAAACCACTCAGAAATTACATTTTGGCCAGGATTGGCCAATTTCTGGCTTCATTCAGAAGACGTTATGCATTGCAGATTATAAATATATTTTCTTAAAAACTCCAAAGAACTAGCCTATGCCCTGGACTTTTAAGACAAGACTTTCAGTGACTTTTCAATTTGAATTTTTTTTTCAATTCCTCCTGAATTTTTATCTTTGAATTTCACCCTAGCCTATCCGACAGAGCCTATCTGGTATTTGAAAGTCTTCTATATAATAGGTGCACCTAACATATGCTCATTTATTCATACAAAACAATCAAATATATACTTACAAGTGAAAATTGCAGACAGATGGCAGAGACTGGCACAAAAATCAAAATTTAAAATATGTGGCTTCTCAAACTTCCTGTATGAGTCATAGAATGTGTGACGTCATAGGTCAAAAGTTCAAAGGGATTTCCCAGGGATTTCCCTAAGATGTCAAACTCAATTTGAAGAAATCACAATAATGAATGTTATTTATAATAAAATATTTCAAACTCTAAATAAGTAATATCAATATTGCTTAAATCAATCAATAAACCTGTAATAAAAGTCAGAAAAAATATAAGTTTTGTTAGTGCTAAATCAGCACTAACTTAGCACTAAATTAGCACTGCTAAGTTAGTGCTGATTTCGCACTAACTGAGGTTTGTACTGATTTGGTACTGATTTATTAGCGCTAATTCCACACAAACTTTATTTGTACCAATTCAGTACCAAATCAGCGCTAAATTAGCGCGAAAAAAGATTAGCGCTGATTTAGCATGGAGTTATTTTGGCAGTGTAGGCTAAGCATGCCACAGTATTGAATACCATAGGTGCAAATCAAGTAAAAATGGACCAGACTATTAGGACTAATACACTCCCCTCAGAAAATTTGGAAATCCCTAATTTCCTTTTGATTATCCTGTAAATACCTATTAATATTCAAATTTTATTTTTTGCTTCAACTACATTATGTCAGAAATTTTTGCCCAACTTGAATTGAATAAAATTCCCAGATATTAACATGTGGTTCAACGAGGGAGTTAAGTGTTACCAAACTTTGGCGGTGAGTGTAGAAGTATTTCTTGTGCAGTAATCTGGGTAACATATGTGCTGTATTAATTATATCTATTGCCATACAATGATTGCAGTGTTTTAAATATCTTAATGTCTAACTGTGTATGTGTACGATAAAGAATTTGTCAACGTGTATGAGATGTGAGACCGCATTGTATAGTAGTGAAAAACAGGGTCCCAATAGCGTGTAGGTGTCATGGAATTTTTCAGAATTCTTGAAATGTCCAAGAAATTGAGGCCAAAAATTGTGTGATATTTTAAAGTGGCATATAATGCCATGTGAAAATTGGCATTGAGCAAATCAAATACTTTATGAATAACTTTTTAGGCTGATGTTTCTAATTCTGGAAATATTTCTTGAATATCAGGAAAAAATATGGTACCTTTGTTTCCAAATTCTTTATAAACCCTGACAAGCAGAAATACCTTTGGAACACACACAGTATTTGGGTGTTTTGAGAAACATTCCAATCTCCATATGGCAATTATTTGCTCACAAGAGTATATACAGTGATGTCAAAATGAACGGGATGATCAATAAGTAATGAAAAAATTTATACACAACTTTACTTCAATATGTTCCTCCTATATTTAAATAACAAGAAAATCTGACATAGATCTACCTTTTGATTAACATGCATTCTGAAACCATTTGTGGTAAATTATTATTATTTTATTCTATTAATAATTTTATTTATTTATCTAAGCTATATATAAGCATTGAAATATGACAAAAAGTGGGTGACACAAATCTATAACTGTTGTGTCATAAAAAGCCAAAATCCCAAATTATGAGAGCGTTATTTATATTCTATTAACAAAGTACTTTTTCAATTTTCTCATCATGATTGGACGACCTTGAGTGTAAAGGTAACATTTTCTTTAAATCTTTGGATTTGTGCTGTATGCATAACCACCGAACTCCTAACCACTCAGTTGCACAATTACGTATCGTATCGTGATCTTAATCGTTTGTACGTTTTGCTCCATGTTATCCCTCACAGTGGCATGGTTACTACTTGAATTATCATGATCTTTGTCCTTTGTACTGAACAGCATGTTGTTAGGATTTGTACTGAACAGCATGTTGTTAGGATTTGTACTGAACAGCATGTTGTTAGGATTTGTACTGAACAGCATGTTGTTAGGATTTGTACTGAACAGCATGTTGTTAGGATTTGTACTGAACAGCATGTTGTTAGGATTTGTACTGAACAGCATGTTGTTAGGATTTGTACTGAACAGCATGTTGTTAGGATTTGTACTGAACAGCATGTTGTTAGGATACTCCGTGTTATCGTCTTTTGTCCCTCAGTATCCCAACCTGTGGTCCTGAATTGATCACTTTCTCCTGCGAGATCAAAATCGCTGTACTCTGCATATTTTGTAATACTTCCTTGATCCGGCCAAGTCGTGAGCTCAATGTGTAGTTCATAGAGCTCAATGTGTAGTTCATAGAGCTCAATGTGTAGTTCATAGAGCTCAATGTGTAGTTCATAGAGCTCAATGTGGGGTTCATAGAGCTCAATGTGGAGTTCATAGAGCTTAATGTGGGGTTCATAGAGCTTAATATGAAGTTCAAAGAGCTCAAAATGGAGTTCATAGTTCCCTGTGCTTTAAAACTGATAATATATTGTTAAACCCCAAGAAGTTTTCCTCGTCAGTGCTTCCGAATCCACTTTTGTAAGCTACTCATTTTTTTTTTTTTTTTGTAATCATAAATATTATTTATTTTAAAAATCATATATAAATATCCATCATTATTACGACAGAGTTGCCCAAAAGGGGTATTTCTCCCCAAAAGGGGCATTTCTTCCCAAAAGGGGCATTTCTCCTGCCACTTTAAGTTATATTTTCCATTACAAGTACATGTATATGTAATTAGTATAATCTGCTCAGATCGTGTAAAGTCTACGGACTCATGAAAGCTCTGAGAAAATACAAGGTAATAATTGCGGCATTGTACTAAGAATACTTAGTAGGTCCTAGATGATGGAAATACAGTAAAACCTGCAATTGAACAACCTCTATTTGTGAGGCAATCTGGTGTTCAACTTACATAAGTTTTACTGTATGTACATATTCAGTGCTTTTCTCTGAGTATCTCTCATATGTCATCCCTTAAGTTTTAAAGCCAAATCATAAAATATGTTTGGACATATCTTCTTCATCTGTGTTGAAGGTTAAAGGTCCATTACTTATTGATCATCCCTCGTATGTACTTAGATTCTTAGAACAGAGAAAAACTGCATAAATTTAAAAAAAATTTTGGTCAGGGGGTTCGTTCACATCCCCTGAAGGCCCCTTGCTACAGGCCTGAAATTAAATTTAAAATCTCTGTATACATGAATGATTTTTAGTCAGAAATTAACACTGGTTCAAGTTGTATGAATAATTTATTCTTAGATAAATAAATACAAATAACTTTCTTTTACATTATAAAATGGCCTCTTCAAAAAATCAACAGCTGTGTTTGGCGTAACATTTATGGGCACTACATATTCTTTTGAATAAGAATCACAAAATATGTGAAAATCATACGTAAATAAATAATATGAGATTACAGTGTGTAAAATGTCGAGGCCTAGTTATAAATATGTCATGGCCTAGTTATTATAAATATGTCATGGCCTAGTTATTATAAATATGTCATGGCCTAGTAATAAATATGTCATGGCCTAGTTATAAATATGTCATGGCCTAGTTATAAATATGTCATGGCCTAGTTATAAATATGTCATGGCCTAGTTATAAATATGTCATGGCCATAGCCAGTATGAGGGAGGTGAGGCAATTTGCGAGGCAAAAATGTTTTTCGACTTCAACTATAGAATGAAGTCTAAATGTAGTAATGTACATTGAAAGCAGAATTGTACTTATTTTCCCAAAAAGTGACCTTGTCTTTCCTTTCTTGCCTTCTTGAGCCTAAATTTACCTCACCTTTCAATTTTTGCGTCAGCTAATTTCGCCTCACCTGGCTATGTCTCTGTACATGTTTATTCAACTTTTTTGACAACTTATCACTTTTTGATTTTGGTTTCCATGGTAATGGACTTAATCAAGTTCTTATTCTATTAAACATTATGCCATGTTAACGAAACTCAATATTTTCATTTTAAATTACATGTGCATACTGCAAAGATAAAAATACAATTACCAATTACAATTTGGTATAGATACCTGGTATATCAAATTATTTCTGCCCTGATCTTTTTTCTGTTTGATATATATATCTTATACAGTATTACCATATGCAAAAACGTAAAGCAAAAAAGTACTGAAAAAGTTGTACATGAAATACTGGAATTTCTCGTGTGTTTCTTCATTATATTGCCCATGGACATTATTTCTAAGTTAAAGTACTTTCAAAACAATGCATCTGGCTATTAATTCTATAAAATAACACACCAGAAACGAGACCACTCTTTTAAATGCCCAGGGCAACATGATGAGGAAATCCAATACTTGTAATTTTAATTTGGTTATTCTGAGCACCAGCTTTCTTCTGGCACTATAAATTTTAATAATTTATTTATTTATTCATATGATACACAGTAACAATGAAAATCTATACAATGCTAGATTTTCCAATTATGATAGGAATGAATGAGGAATGAGGTAAAATATATATGAGGCCCATTGAGGGGGGTCTACCAGGACAATATATGAAGATCCATGAATTTGAATAGCTCCTATGATGCTATACCCGTATATTATGCATAATAATACCAATATGTTATCTTCTACATGCAGTTCAAGTGTAAAAAAAAAGTTCAAGTGTAGTTCGACATAAATATAGGTTTCATAATTTTTAGTCCAGACAACCAACAAGCAAATGGATTTCACGATTATACATGTATATCATATGAAAGCAGCTTTATGTGGTAAACAGTGTATATGGATTCATTATTATAATACGTAATGCTTCTCTGTGGACATTTCCAGTACAAATGCATGAAGCTGTCAGACTCGAGACCTGAATTGTAGATTTGAATAATTTAAAATAAGAGGTCAATATAATATACAAAGTAGCAACTCTTATTCTACCAGTAATTTATAAAATAGGATAATATACATACCTGTACTTATATGTACATACTAAGAAGCACCATATATAGTTACAAAGCAATAGGGACCTAGAAGTGCAATGTTCATATCAGGACATCATAGTTCCCATAGCTACTTCTAACAATAACAACAGTGGTGTAGCTATGGCAACAGTCACAGGGTTCACTAATCCAAAGGGAAGAAATCTTGTAGAACTTACAGTAACATCCGTAAAATAATGAAACATTTTCAATATCATGCAACATCCATTATGTAATGTTACCTTGACTACAGGATACGCTGTACATGTTTGCTTGTGTTAAATAAATCATGTACATATTTGTACAATGTGTTTCATAGCATCTGTGGTTCAATGTAACATCCGCATATGTTCTTTAATATAAACCATGAATGTACATGTTTCTACAATGATGTTTCGTAGCATCCATAATTTAATGTAACATCCGTACATGTTCTTAAATCATGTACATTTTTCAACAATGGTGTTTCGTAACATCCGTAATTTACTGTAACATCCATACACGTTCTTAACTGTAAATCATGTAAATCTTTCTACAACATTGTTTCATAACATCCGTAATTTAATGTAACATCCGTACATATTTATAAATAAAAATAGTGTACACATTTGTACCACGTTATTTCTAGATATCTAGAGAGCCTGTTTGTACCTAAGGTATAATAAATGTATTGTCATCATTTTATATGCAATCTTTGTTATTAAATCAATTGTTTTTGATTGCTTTTTTCTCTGATTCTTGAGCCTGCATGAAAATTCTAATAGTGCTCACAACTTTCATAAATTTTATCAATTATTTCTTGGAATAACCTTGCCAAAAATGATAAACTGACATATACAGATGTTTTTAACAGCATTTGCCACACAGTTTTGGTTTGATTGAGTACTTGATTTCATAAAGTCCCAAAGTTATTGATTAGAGAATTGCATTGTTGGTCATCCTCTGGCTCGTATTTCCCGATGGTCCCACTGTACCTGTAATGCACCCTTGATGTTTTTCATCTCTAATGTAATAAATCCCTAAACTATTGGTGTCTCAGACTTTTTGTCCATACATTTTCTTCCAACTGGTGTCTCAGACTTTCTGTCCATATATTTTCTTCCAACTGGTTCAAACAAAAGGATGATTGTCCCTATTAGAAGCATACTGCCGCACATGTAAAATGACAGGTTCCAGCTTCCTGTAATATCTTGCAGCCAGCCTGAAAAACAAGAACATTTTAAAAAATCAGGCTGAGTACAATAAAAGATAGAAATAAGAACTTTTCTACAATGATGTAAGTTGAATATAAAGAATCGGAAATAAAGAAATTTTCCTGAAAAGGATGTTGAACTAAAAATTGAGCAGAAAAAAGAACATTTTTACAAAAACGCAGGTAATTAAGAACTGTATAATTCTGCCCAATAGATATGTACAAGTAAAACCAGTCACATAATGACAGCAAATCCCAACTATCCCAAAGAATATTTTAAAAATATATCTAGGTTAATAATCTTTCCCCACAAATAATGTACAAGTTCTCTTTCAAACATTAACCATAACCTCTCTACTAACAACATTTCAAAATGTAGTCAAATAAATATTTATACCTGCAAATGGAGGTCCAGTCAGGTGGGCAACTCCTTGGAATAACACACATATTCCGAATGCACTGAAGAGTCTCTCTGGACCAAGGACATCAACTAACATTACTGCAATGAGGGCAACGAATGATCCGCCAAACAACCCGATACCAACACTGAAGACTATAAGTCCTATGAAAATCAAAAAGTATATATACATAAGCAAAAAGCAAATAATTATGATAGATACAGGGTGTGCAAAAAACTTTGCAACTTTTTTTAAAAGGCTAAAAAAGTATCATTACATTAAGGTATTGACATTAAAAAATTCCAGTAAAACTTGAGAGGGATATTTTACCATTCAAATACATAAGCTGGTACTGCCTTCAATTTTTCGTCAGATCTTGAAATATCAATGTGATTTATTCTTGTGTCGGAGATTTATCATTTTTGCCACTACCAATACCCCAATGTTATGATACTTTTGTAGCATTTTTAAAAAGTTGCAAATCTTTTGGCATACCCTGTATTTACAGTTTAAACAGAATCTACATATGTACATGAAAACAATGCAAATGTAATCAAAACAAGCTGGTATTAGCTAACATGCAAAATGTTACCACCTGCCATTTGTTACAGAGAGTGAACAATGAATGACAACTGCTGAACAAAGACCACAAAAAAGTTGGACACCATAATAACCTTTTTTCTCCAAAAAGCAAGATACTTCATGAAATTTGGATTATACATGTACATGCTACATGCATTATTTTATATACATACCCTGTAGAAACTCATTAAACTCTTAATTCAAAAGATTTTTTCTCAGAACTTATTGATCGGCCTGGTATATGCAAAAAGAATCACCACAATTTAACCTTATCAACTTCAAATTATTCTATTTTTCAATATTGTACCTGGAAATGTTGTTAAAGATGGCACCACCATACAAAATCCACCACTGATCGCCATGGCACCAAAGAATCCGTATCTTCTTGGGAATATTTTCAAATCAGACACCCATCCAAAGACCACTCGTCCAATCAAATCACAGATACCAATAATTGATACTAATAAGGCAGCCCTTGAATCGGGAATCCCGAGAGAAATTGCGTGTGGCGGGACCATAAGGAACGTCACAGGATACCCAACGCTGGCGAAGAAAGTTCCGAGAATGTAAACCATAAAGACTGGGTTCTTTAGAAGCGACCATTCAAATAATGTAGCACTCGTTGTTGTATTATTTTTTGTCTTTTTGCGTATTTGAAACAAACGAGAAAATAAAGATTGTTTCTGAGGTATTTTGGTTTCATTCAGATCTTGAATTTTTTCAGAGGGGGTGTTTATAGTAGATTCAATATCATGGGGAGTGCGTATACTCAATGGAATGTCCTGTAAAGAAGTCACGACATCACCCGTGCTTGCGTATATACTACTAGCATGAGGTTCCAAATGAATTAAATCATTTATTTTCTTTAGCTTTGGCAACACATGTTTGCTTTTCTCCTTTTGATTTTCAGTACAAAGGTTGTCATTTTTGGTCTCATACAACTCCATATGATCTATTTGTGAATGAGATTTCGCGCTTTGGATATTTACACTCTTGTGACTAGATTTTTTGGGAACAATGTCGAAAGTGTGACGTGTTGGAGTCGTATTTGCACGAAGTCTGAATGGAGTTTCATGAAATTCCTTGTCACGGATTTTCTGTTCCTTGCCATCAATCTTTGGCAATGTGTTACATTGATTACTTGTATCATAAGGCACACTGTCATCACAAGTGTCCATGTTGACATCACAAGTGTCCATACTGACATCACAAGTGTCCATACTGACATCACAAGTGTCCCCATTTGTCTCTCTAGTCATACTGACATCATTTTTAGACTCTTGCTCACTTAAAAGCCGAGATCTTTCCTCCACTGTTGATGTCACTGTAACCTTGGCAACAGTACTTCTATTGTTATGTGTTTCTAAGCTGTTTTTCTTGTTATGGAAATTAAAGCTGTTTTTCTTGTCATGCTGTTTAGTATAGAATTCAGTAGGACGTAGTAGCATACCACAAATACACACATTAAGGACCACACCTCCTGAAATATAAAAATACAAGGCATATATAGTACACACAATCCATACAATGGCGTAGCGTCATATATGCATAAATCGAAAATTAGAGAAAAGATAATTTTTTATATTGATATATTGCATTACCCCAACTATAAATATAAATGTATTGGATATTATGAAAACATGGCCAATAATTTACATTCTATTAGCTAAGTCTATATTAGTCGGAATTTCGTATTTTAAAACCCCCAAGAACACTACACAATGAAACCTCATTTTCAATTTTTCTTGGGGGTACCTTCAAATATACTCAGGATGCCCAAACTATAACTACCTATAGTTCTGTATTTTACTACCAAGATGCATCTTTGAAAATTTCGAAACAATCCATCAAATAGAAAATTCTATCGTGAAACAATGGAATGTTTGTCAAATATTATCCTAAAAATGGATATGTGTGACTTACCAAGAACAATCATGGTGCCCTCAACACTATAAACATCTAGAAAAAACCTCATCAACAATGGCATAACAAATGTCCCGACTCCTGCCCCAGATATGGCAAGACCATTGGCTAAAGCTCGCCTCTTGTCAAAATACTGCCCAACAAGCACGATGCTAGGAGCATAAGCTAGACTAGAACCTATTCCTGGAAAAAACAAAGAAAACTTAACTTTTGGTCTAAGTTTCAAATTGTGCATGCACCCTTGTTATGACCAGAGGTAGAGAAAAAAACTTTTTAGTAAAACCCGCCACCTTTAGATATCTTGGACAGATTGCTACCAATAACCAATGACATCATCAATCTAGCCAATGACATCCTCAATCTAACAACCAATGACATCATCAATCTAGCCAATATGTCCTAGTTTCTTTGATCTACCAAAAGGTGGCAGCATTTATTAGAAAGGTCTATTTAATTCCCCCTTCCCAGAAAAAGAGGTTTCTCTGTATGTGTCTTTATTAAAGGGACAATGTGCGAAAATGAAGTCTCACTTCATACTATTTACCTGATCTTCCATTTGACACCAAAAACAGCTCAAACAGACCACATCAGAGTTAACACTAGATCATGAAAAAATATTTTTGATCTTTCAATTTATAGATGTCAAGTTTTTAGCAATGCCATAGAAAGATGGCATTGTTGTTTGTATTAATTGTACATTCATTTTTGATAGGATTTTCAACCACACGCCATCTTTTAGTCCAAGAGTTATTTAAAAACATACACTTTGTGGAAAGTGGTAATTCACTTCTTGTGATCTCTGAACTTCAAATGCTGTTTTCTATGTGAGTAATTTTTTTTTCACTTCAGTATTGACCCAAATTAAAGTTTTTATCATATTTGATTGACTGTGTGAGTGACATGTCTCAAATAATATTTTGTCCTTTTTCCTTCAAAAATAAGCGCATTGCCTGTTTAAAGTCTCACTCTCTATTAAGTGTCTTTAAGATATCTCTATGGACTATCTATATGTACATCTCTATGTAAGTGTCTCATGTATGTGTCTCAATGTTTATGTAAGTGTATCTTAAAAGTCAAACTTTATGAACCTTTTACCTGAAATAACTCCATATGTTATATATAGATGCCAGATGCGAGTTGCAAATGCACTAAGGACGCACCCCAACGCAGCTAAGAGACCACCGATAAAAACAACCTTTCTGCTGGAGTAACGAACGCTAAGACTGTTAGCGCATGGTCCTACAACAAATAAAACAAAGAATTAACATAAAAAATGTCATCACCTGGTTACAAGTTCAATTAATGCATCACCATGGTAAACAAACCCAAAATCTGAACACTCTCCACTACACTTAACTCATTCTATTAAAGTTTATACTTTCCACTGGTAATTCTGTGGAATACAAACCATGGGCTTACATGTACAGGGTGGGCCAAAAAACGCCACTTTTTTTTCAAGATGCTATAGCTTTTTTAATTTTTGATCAAAAATCACAATTTGCATACCAAATGAAACTTGAAGATGCAATCTATCCATGGGTTATGAATTGTACCCTTTTACTTGAATAAAATATGTCACCCGCGACTCACTTAAACATGTGGTGTGCCATGAGAAATGAACAGAATTTGCATAATGTACCTGAACTGATACGGCCTGATGACCACCGAGCTAATAGTCCTGATGTAAACCCCAGTGAATATAGGCTACGGGAAGGTCTCCAGGAGATGGTATAAAGACACCAAATCTCAAAAATTGCTCAGCTAAAGCTGGCAATTAAGACAAGTTGAAAGAAACTAAGTCAACATTTCATTGATACTGATCAAATGCAATTCAAATTGAAGGACTTGTTACATTATTTTATAAATTAGGACCCCTGGCACTGGATAACTGCAAAATTTGGTGTATGTAGGTTGGAAAATGAAAAGGTTATAGTGTCTTGAAAAAAGTGGCATTTTTTGGACCACCCTGTACAAACCAAGAGATTGTTTGCTAAATATATATATATGGAATTCATGTTTCTTATCTTTGCTATGGAACAAATCGTGAACCTTTGAGGGCAAGTAGTTCTTGCAGTGTGTACAAAGATGTACAAGCCTCATTTTGGAAAATGGCCATTTTCAAAATATGAAAATCATAAGTAAAATGGATATCAAAGAACTATTCAAAGCTAAAATAGTACTGATGAAGTACATGTATATAATCCTAAAATGCAATTAATGTATAAACCTATAAAAACCATCACCATTAAAGCAAGGAATCAGGAGAAACCTTTAAAAATATGAAAGTTGGACAAGTCAAAGTTACCAATCAATCTAAAAGAAATAGAAAAAAGAGAATTTCAAAAAACAGTTACATAATTGAGAATTATTAAATTAAATCTATTATCATTTATCTTTTAATAGTCCATTTTAGTGCCAAAACGTGACATCATACTTACAATTCTGTATTTAGTAAATAGGCTAAAATAGGAATTTCATCTTAACTATTTTTCACTGGGTCGGGTCTCATGGCACAAGATGACCTGCCTTCCAGTAGCAGATTTTGAAAGATATTTAATTTTCTCCATTCAAACATTGGTTTCTCAAATGATTTTCTCTATTATCATATGCAAGCAGTTAAAGGGGGGGGGGGGGGTCTTGCTTCAAATATGTAATTGTCATTCATCCCGGATTACGAGGAAGAACAATCACTAGGGCAGAGCATTTGTACTGAAAGGAGCGTTTTCAGTACAAATATGTACTGAAAAATGTACTGAATTTTTAAGTATATTTTTCAGTATAAATATGTACTGAAAAATATACTTAAAATTTCAGTGCAAATTTCAGTATATATATGTACTGAAAAATGTACTGAAATTTTAAGTACATTTTTCAGTATATATTTATACTGAAAAATATACTGAATTTTAAGTGTGATTTCAAGTGCAAATATGTACTTAAAAATATACTGAAATTTAAGTGTGATTTTAAGTGCAAATATGTACTGAAAAATATACTGAAATTTAAGGGCATATTTAAGTGTAAATTTATACTGAAAAATATACTTAGATTTTGAATTACGACATCTTCCTGACTTTGACATCTATACCATGGATTTTGCTATACTCGAACAAATGAGGTTCTGTGTTCATGTGATATATTTTAATTTTGATATCAATTAATTAATTTGCTCAAGCAATATGAGTGAAAATCTCATGAAAAACTTATTTTTAAGACTGAGAAAATGAGTACCTTTAATGTTTTTGAATTTTAGAACTTAATAAGGTAGAATGTATCTAGAAACCTCAAAAGGTATGGAATACACATGTTATGTACGATCAGTTTTAAATAAAGGGTTTATCCCTCAGGAAATATGGGTATCCAAAACCTCCCAGTACATAACCCTTATATATGCATTATATTTGATAGGTTTGATCGGGCTAAAAAGAAATTTATTGATGGAGAAAATGCAATCAGATATTATTACAGGATGGTCTTAAATAATTAAATCCAAAAACATAACTTATTAAAAGGAAAACACTTGATTACAGTAAACCTAGCCTCTCCAGTTTGATTAGAGTCTGCTTTAAAGGATGTGTCTAAAGAAACTTTATTAATCCACTAACAAAACAAAATATTTTGACAAGGCAAAACAAACCTGATTACAGTTCAGGGGTCCAAGCGAACTCCCCCCCCCCCCCGGCCAAAAATTCTTTTAAAATCATGCACTTTTTCACCATTCTAAGAACTTTTTGAGTGATTTAGGCCGTTTTTAATAAATCCATAAACATAACTTCTAAAAAGGAAATCACTTGATTACAGTAAACCTAGCCTCTCCAGTTTGATTAGAGTCTGCTTTAAAGGATGTGTCTAAAGAAACTTTATTAATCCACTAACAAAACAAAATATTTTGACAAGGCAAAACAAACCTGATTACAGAGAGACTATTTTAAGTTTGGTTGAAGGCTGCTGTAAAGGAAGCATCCAAAATAATTTCATAATGTAATAGCATTCCTGTTGGGGGGGGGGGGGGTTTCAGGGGTCCAAGTGAACCCCTCCCCCCCCCCCCCCCCCCGGCCAAAAATTCTTTTAAAATCATGCACTTTTTCACCATTCTAAGAACTTTTTGAGTGATTTAGAGTTTATAAAGTATGCCTTACATTTACGTTTTCTCTTATTTCCATTATTGGGCACAAATATTTCTCATTGCATATATTTATACTTAAAATTATCCTTAAATTTCAGTATATTTTTCAGTACATTTTTATACTGACTTTTGCACTTAAATTTCAGTACATTTTTCAGTATATATTTGTACTTAAATTTATCCTTAAATTTTCAGTGCATTTTTCAGTATATTTTTGCACTTAAATTTGTCCTTAAAATTCAGTACATTTTTCAGTACATATTTATACTTAAATTTGTACTTAAAATTCAGTATATTTTTCAGTACATGAATTTGTACTGAAAAAAATTCAGTGCATTTTTCAGTACAAAAATATACTTAAATTTGTACTGAAACAAAACTAGTACATTTTTCAGTACATATTTGTACTGAAAACGCTCCTTTCAGTACAAATGCTCTGCCCTAGTGAATGCTAGCAGTTTTGTAACAGCGATGTATTGAGATGTGTTCTTTACAAAAGTGAGACACTAAAACTGTTAATTTATTACTTCCTTATGACGCTCAATAAATATGAATAACTTTTTAAACTAGAGATTATGAGCTAACTGCACACATATGAAAATCTGCTACCGGAAGCAGGCCATCTTGATAAAGGACTGTGCAATAAATATAATACTTGGAGATCTAGGTTTTTTTTTAAATTTATTTATTTATCAATTATCATCAGTAGTTACATTTACAAAATTATCTTCAATCACCAAATGCATGCATGGCATTGTAGAAGACAATGATGCGCTTTTGAATATAAAATAAGGAGCAATGTTAACAGTAGTTTAGGGGTTGTGGAGGGGGGGGGGGCTTCGCGTGGGAAACAGTTCATAGAGATAAAAGATGTTACAGGAGGGAAAATAGATGCAGTGATTTTTGATGCTGGGCATGTGATTGATGTGATTGGATGGTAGCCTGAAGGGTGATAGAGACATCATTTAAGTAAAGAGGAGGGAAAACCCCATGATTCAATTGATGACATACGATTTCCTCCTTCGCGCACCTCCTTTTGTCGAAAATGTACCCTCCATCTTGGTTTTCAAAGTTTTCAAGTTGACCTAGTTTTAAACCAATCAACGATTGACTCGCTAAACCAATCAGCGACGATGTCATCTCAATACAGATTTACATTATAAGCGTATGTCATCTTTGAACCCTGGGGTTTCTCCCCCTCTTATTTAAGTACTTATAATATGGTTAGTGCATTTATATCCACATGTATATCTCACATTCAACTTTTCTTTTGTTCACGCTGCTATTTCCTAAACCCATTAAAATTGACAAAAACTAATGAATATTTTAATATACTACCTAATGTTAATTGCCATAACATTATTGTTGTTTTTTAATCAAAACTTTTTTGTATGTTATCAACACAACTACCGAAATACAGTTTACAATTGTTGACCTCTCCAGAGGTCATCCGGCAAAATTGTATACCGAGACTGTAAACCGAGACACTATTGTTGACAGAGAACGAAGGTCGAGGTCAACAGTAGTTTCAAGGTTTACAGTTGAGGTATATGATTTTGACAGTTGATCGAATGGAGAGGTCTACAATTGATTGGTTAGTCAGAAGAAACTAATAATACACATATAGAAGACAATCATCAATCATGGCTTCATTTTACAATCTTTTCTCCGAACCACGTCAGCAATAATTTTTTAAGAAAATCTTAAGACAGTGGAAGCTAAACTCTCTGTTTTCTGCACATCACTGCATACTCACTAGAAAATTAATGTTAATTTTACGTTTCTTTTTGTATATTGCTATACTGGTCGTCTAGCAAAGTCAAAATATCACTTTCATCAACGTTTACAAAATGTCTCTCTACCATGTTTTTTCTGTAAACATTATGACATCATATTTTCCATAATTCACAAGTGTAGTACAATAACATACGCGGTCAATAATATGATATCCCATGATGCACAGGTGGGGTACAGACAGAAATGTTTACCGATAATTGACCAATCAGATACGAGTATTTATACTGAGGTACTAACAATAAAACCTGTCTAATCTAAACACCACTAGGACAAGCTAAAAGTGTTCAGATTAGTAGGTGTTCATATTTCAAGGTTTTTTAAATATCTGAGTCAATGAAAGATATCAGATTTGCTATCACGAAAAAAATGTGTTCGAATTAGAGAGGTGTTAGGGTATACACAGTATGTCACTAGCATTACAGTAAAACCTGTCTTAATGCACACCTCTCTGTCTTAAAGGGGCAACAAGGAGTGTAGAGAGAAAATTCGAATTTTTTTATTTTTTCTGAGCTATCAGGTCAATATTTGGCTTAACATCGTTGTTGACTACCTATTTTCTTAAAATGTATGGATAAACTCTCAATTTCAGCATTAAGAAATGTAAATTCAGAACAAAGCTTCTATAAAGGGAGTCCCACTTTTAGATTTTGAAGATTCACCACGTTTCAAGAGGAATATCAGCCGAAATAATGTTCATCCCGGTGGTTTCTTTGGAGATAATAAAAATATATATTATATCCAAACTTAAACATATTTTGACACTGGTCGATGATCGTTGAATCGAATGGCCCCCTTTAATGAACACCCCTCGTCTCTAGTAATACACTATACTCTAGTAATAGAGAGATTTCGCACATAAGTGAAAGTACAACTTATACGTATACGTATAGTTTAAAGGGTCATGTCGAACTATTATATTTACTTAAATCAATTTTAAATTGTACTTAATGGAACATAACGATTCCCGTTATAGAAAAGCTCCATCAACTAGAGACTATAAATGCACTGTCATCTGCACGTGTAGATTATGCACATTATAATTAAATGCTTGCTTCCGTGTCCTTGTAGTTGTAGTGTATTATAAACACGATCCTTTAAAGGGAGTCATGATTTTTTAAAGTGAGTCATTACATAAACAAGTTGATTATTTCAATGTTTTCATGATCAGTATAAGTTCAATGAACTTACAAAACGGTATATTTACGTAGATGATAACGTATACAGTTGGATCTCCGAATAAAGATTTGCCTACATGTGTGTGGAACAATTGACCGCAAGCATTTTTTAGAATTAATCGGCTGAGTGGGAACAGTATCCAATTAAATAATTTAACCATCAATTTGAAACACCAATCAAACCAGTAGGTTCTAGCAATTCCTGGAAACGACCCATTCAGTAGCTCAACATATGACATACAGGGTGTTTCATAACGAGCATCTCCAAAAAGTCAATTTGAGAAGAGATGGGTCTATAACATATGTACTATATATGAGCCTATTTTATTCTAGACAAACACATTTGGATCAACTAAACATGCTACAAATGGCATCCCTTTGACCTGTATTTATTACAGTCCGAGAAGATTTTTCCTGACGAAAAGCTCACATTATGAAACACCTTGTACTTTTACCTATAAGTATAAGTATACGTTATATGTTGTACTTTCACTAGGTGCGAAATCTCTCTAATATCCGCACATACTCTTCTGACTTCTGTATAAATTACCTTTTCTAAAGTGAACACCTACCAATGTTCAGTATTAAAAAATCAACAAGGTAAAGGAAATCTTACCTCCTGAGAGTGCCACGAAAGCCATCAAAGCGGTGATCCAGGCAGTCTCCCTCGACGAACTCCCGAACTTTTCAGCAAACGGGATAAACAGAATTCCAAAAGATTTTCCAATTCCGACGATTATAACGTGCATCATAAAACAAGCTGAAAATTAATAAATAAAATGTTTTAATGTTAATGAAGAATTCCCACCATTTTTAAAGTGACGGCCATCTTGGGGAAAATTCTTTTTGATGGTGTCACAAGGGAGTACCATTAGGCAGGCGAGGCAAAGACAACTGCCTCGTCAAAGACAACTGCCTCGCCAAAGACAACTGCCTCGCCAAAGACAACTGCCTCGCCAAAGACAACTGCCTTGCCAAAGTAGTACAGAAAAATATTCATTCAGACACATTTTTTAATTGAAACTTTGGAAATAAAATCTGTGGTAGAGTTTTTACTCAAAATTGCCTCGCTAATTCAAAATTGCCTCACCAATTCCAAATTGCCTCACCAATTCAAAATTGCCTCACTAATTCAAAATTGCCTCACTAATTCAAAATTGCCTCACTAATTCAAAATTGCCTCACCAATTCAAAATTGCCTCACCAATTCAAAATTGCCTCACCAATTCAAAATTGCCTCACTAATTCAAAATTGCCTCACTAATTCAAAATTACCTCATCAATTCAAAATTGCCTCACTAATTCAAAAGTGCCTCACTAATTCAAAATTGCCTCATCAATTTAAAATTGCCTCTCTAATTCAAAATTGCCTCATCAATTCAAATTGCCTCACTTATTCAAAATTGCCTCACTAATTCAAAATTGCCTCATCAATTTAAAATTGCCTCTCTAATTCAAAATTGCCACACTAATTCAAAATTGCCTCACAAATTTTTGGATCCTTGCTATGCTCTTGATAGAACAAGACATTGCCATGACAAATTATAACAAGTTGATTTCTGATTGCAATAATAAAAAGAGTAAAAATTCGTAATAGATGCTTGAGGAAAATGCCAAAACTGACACCAACTGCTAGTCACAAAAACAGACAATTTTGAATTAACATGCAAAATGCTACAACCTGCCATTTGTAACAGGCACTGACCGCTAAACGCCAACTGCCGAACATCATCCACAAAAAAGTTAGAGACAATAACAATTTGTCACCACTTCTGGTGAAAGTTCTTACCAAACACGCAGACCCAGCCCCATCCTTTGTCAATTGGAATTCCTCTCCTGTTGTCTTTAGAATCCACATCTGGTGACTCATTTCTGTGGTTTGTCATGGTTGCCGTCGGTTCCACATCCTCTTGCTTTGTAGGCTTATTGACCGTGTCATTTTCATCATTTTCTTTCTCCATTTCTAATAAAATGTCAGGTAGAAAGCTTTAAAATGGCAAAATTATTTATGACATTAAATACGCATACATTAAAATAAAAAAATGTGCCCAGGCCTATGTTCCAAGGATGCCATGATTTGATTCAGTAACTGATGATCATAGTTAAAAAATTACTAACGCAGCGTGGTTCTCACTAGGCTATAAGAACCTCCAGGCGCAGTACCACTCTCTCTGATAATCAAACCTAGCTGCGCCATTCTCTGACTCAAAAGCAAAAAACATCTCAACTATATACAGGGTGTCCTGAAAGTTCATGCACTCTTTTCCATAAAATAGTAAACACTGAACCTATGGCCCTGTAATTTTCTCAAAACAATGCTTTACAAGGCAATAACATCTGCCCTTCGCCGATCACGCACTGCTGAACACCATTTACGTGTGTCTTGTAACTTGATGTAAATAAAGACATTAAATGAAGCAGTAACATATGTAGGGCTCTCTCCAGGCTTTTAGACTGTGGCACAGCACCACACTCTATTTAGCTCCCACCACACCCTATTGGCAAATCATGATTGCTTCCATAGTCTAAACTTGACTGAATATACAATAATAGCAGGTAAAAAGGATAAAATATAACATAACCAGAACAACGGCAACGCCAAAGCGTAGCGAATCCCATCGAACAGAAATGGCTGGCATTTCTACAAACAGAATATATAGTAAATGCCAAATATCATAAAATAGCACACATAAGAAAGGCCACCATTTTCAAAATGTTTGCTCGCTAGCCAGGTTGTCTTCAGAAGAAGTAATATGCTTTTAAGTAGCCACATACAAAATTTTTAAAAATCACACACACGTACATGTAAATGGTGGTCATTTTTTAAAATGGCCGGCTACTACCCAAAATGTCATGAGACAGTATGCAATCCTTATGAGTATTCACACATCAAATATGAAAAAATCGCTCTGCTACTTTTTGAGTTATAATAAAAAATGTAAAATAACACACATAAAAATGGTGGCCATTTTTCAAAATGGCCGACTATTCCCCAAAGTTTTATTAGACAATGCCCTAATACGTCACTTCCGCTGAATAGAAAAAAGTAGTATTCAAAAATAAATGTAGTCCCAACACAATTGTGATCATGACGAGTCAGTAAGCTAGTATGTAGGCACAGTTGTAATCTTTTTGCAATGGCAACATGCCATTTCTTCTGAAAATGCGTTTATTTGGGTTATCTGAAGGAAAATTTCGAGTCAAGTGGCGTATTAATTTTGCCTTCATTTTTGTGAATTTCAATTTCTGTCTGCAGAGAGAGGGGGTAGTGTCACAATTGACCAATTATTTCAAAAAGTAGATGATTGGCCCCTATTGAGTTTAGTGTCAAGATGTAGCTTAGACATAGCTTTAGAACCTCAGATAGGCCAGTGAGTACCCTGCGTGCAGAGTCTAGTTAAACTACACTCTGCCTAGTAGAGACCATATTACAGTTTAGTAGCCCCGCCCCCATGACGGGTACCGGTGACAGTTTGGGTAATAAATTACTTTTGACCTGCGCGCTGACCTTTCTTACACCAGTCAGCGAGCTTGAAGAAACATACGCCAATTGCGTTCTAATTAAATATGCGCATGTCATTGGTCAATTCCGGGCTCAGTGATGACGTCAGAAGGAATGACCATATATAGAACGTCGGTCAAATTTGGCCGACGAACACTGATTGGCGCGGTGAGTTCACAGGTTTATTTTAGTTTGAAAGAGTGAAGACGAAGCTCTCTTTTAAGAAGTGAAGTCAAACGAATACAAAGGGTAGCCAGTGAGGCCACATAAATCTATAACTTGAGATAAAAAGTCAGGCGTTTGCCCTTTTGCCCATTGACTAGTATGGTGACGTGAATTAGGGCAGTTTTGCCTATTAGTCACATGTGAAAGTGACCAAAATTTTTTAAAACTACTCAGAATCGCCCAGAATTGAAGTTTATTAGTGTGAAACATATTTTGGACGGAGGCAAAAAGGGGAATTTTCATGAACAAATTTAATGTTTTTGCTGAATCAGCAGTTTTCGCTTTTTACCCCAAAAACCACTGATTTTGACGATATTTGGCTACAATTTTGTCCTTAGTGACCCCTAAATGTCATTTGTTGTCGTAAATGGGGAAGCCAACGAGTTGCTATTCATCATAAAGATTGAATTTTCCATCTTATGGTTTCCAGTATAGAAAGAAGGTACATATCGGGGGTGCAGTCAGAAATTGGTGAGTTAAGTGTCAATTTTTGATGTATTTGTTCACTCTGAATGACTACATTCGAGCTAAAAAATATCTCAAAAGTCCCAATTCTCTAGGCCAGAGTCAAAACTGATCAAATTTGTCAACATTTTTCAAATCAGGAGGTTGTTGAATGGAATAAAGTATGAAAAAGTGATGATTTTAATAAGATTTTGCCAAAAAGTGGGCCAAATTTGTCCAATTTTCTGGTTCACGGTTCAGTGATTTTGGCTAAAAATCGCAATTTGCAATAAAATACTCAATTTCTTGACACGATACTGAAAAATGTCACCATCAGACAGTGGATTTCATGATGTAAATGAAAAACTAGTCAAATTTAAAGGAAAACCATTGGGTTCTTGGAAAAATGACCCCAGGGGTAATGAAGTAGCCATATTTTTCATAATTGCTGTCAGAATATTCTTAAACTGCACAAAACTACTTTAAAAACTCTAGTAAATTGGAAAAACGCAATTTAAAGCCAGAAATCATCCAACCATGTGGCTATTAGGCCAAAATGCCCTAATACGTCACTTCCGCTGAATAGAAAAAAGTAGTATTCAAAAATAAATGTAGTCCCAACACAATTGTGATCATGACGAGTCAGTAAGCTAGTATGTAGGCACAGTTGTAATCTTTTTGCAATGGCAACATGCCATTTCTTCTGAAAATGCGTTTATTTGGGTTATCTGAAGGAAAATTTCGAGTCAAGTGGCGTATTAATTTTGCCTTCATTTTTGTGAATTTCAATTTGTGTCTGCAGAGAGAGGGGGTAGTGTCACAATTGACCAATTATTTCAAAAAGTAGATGATTGGCCCCTATTGAGTTTAGTGTCAAGATGTAGCTTAGACATAGCTTAGAACCTCAGATAGGCCAGTGAGGCCACATAAATCTATAACTCGAGATAAAAAGTCAGGCGTTTGCCCTTTTGCCCATTGACTAGTATGGTGACGTGAATTAGGGCAGTTTTGCCAATGTGCCAGTCTTAAAGAATTCACAAATAAAATATATACAAAATCGCTCTTATACTTTTCGAGTTATATTAAAAAATGTAGAAATGACAGCCATTTTTTAAAATGGCCGCCTATTACCCAAAGTGTCATTAGACAGTGTGCCATGTTTATAGTATTCACATATAAAATATGAACAATATCGCTGTACTACTTTTTGAGTTATAGTAAAAAATGTTTAATAGCACACGTAAAAATGGCGACCATTTTGAAAAATGGCCGCCTGCTACCAAAAATGTCATTAGACATTGTGCCATGCTTTAAGTATTCACATACCAAATGTGACCCATGTAAAGCCAATAGGAATATGTAAAACAATTTGGAGATGTGTAATAAATTATAAAATTGTACCTGTGTATAAAATCAGCAAGTAAAACCAAATGTACAAAAATGCAGCCCAAAAAGTAACCACTTTGCCAGCCTTATCCAGAGTGATACCAAACATGTACAGCTAATGCCTTGGTCACATTTGCTCCGATTCATCGGCCCGCGCCCGCCCGATTGAGTGTTTTGTTCAATATAGTATTCAATTTTGAACAAAATACTCAATCGGCCGGAGCAAATGTGACCAAGGCATAAGGTAAAGAAAAGATAATTGGCTTGATTGCCTTGAATTCACTGGGCTATTGAACTGTACAATAAAATTGACTGGCTTGCTTGCATTTAAAGGCTAATGTTTTAAACCATTAAAGGGTGATGTATTAAAACATGGGTAACACAAATATGAATAAAATCACTCCACTACTTTTTGAGCTCCAGTAGAAAATGTTAAATAACACACGTAAAAATGGCGGCCATTTTTCAAAATGGCCGCATACTACCCAAAATATTATCAGACATTGTGCCATGCTTAAAGTATTCACATACCAAATATGAACAAAATCGCTCCACTACTTTTCCAGTTACAACAAAAATCGAAAAATGACGTGCATGTATTTCTTCTATACAGACGGATGTGTTCCCTATATCCCTCTGAACTTTGTTCAATGGGATAAATATGATTTATCACGACTGAACGGTAATGCTGAAGATGTTTGCACCACAACATAAATATTTCCTGGTGAGAGCCCCAATATGGATATCAGCTTATCACCATCTGGCCACTAGAGCACATGAACTTTTGGGACACCATGCATTGGCGTAGCCAGGATTTGACAGGAGGGGGTTCGAATTTTTTTTTGGAGCCACCTAACGGTGTAATTGGTAAAAACTTTTTTATTATGTTTATTATATTATTTGCTTAGCCTTTGCCAAATTTGCTTAAATTTTGCCAAATTTGCTTAATTTTGGTCCATATAATTAATTTTTGCCAGTTTGCTGGAATTTTAAGATTTACCTATGCCAATCAATCGCAAGAGCAAAATCATGAGACAAGTGAAATTCATTCATTTGGAACATTGAAGGGCAAAATTCTAGAATGGCTTTTTTGTTAATATCCCTTTAGATTTTTTGTTTTTCCACTTTCTGGATAGGTCAGAAAAATAAATCCAAAATAAATACATGTAGCTCTAGACTCCACCCAGGTTGTGTAATTCAATTGTCTTTCCATTAGACTACTTAAATTAATTTTCCATTACTTGCACAATGTGCTCTTGAAAAAAAATTTTATTTAAGGGAAATGGTTGTTGTTCAGACAAATTCTCACTTCAGCAAATTCACCTGTCATAAATGTTGTAATGTATATTCAATACACAGGGGCTTGTCTCGAGGCGTCGGGCAAGCCCTCCGATGAGTCTACTGCTTATTAATAGTAAAAAGGGTGGTCGGTTTTGATGCTACCTGAAATTTGTAGAAAATGATTGTTAGATATATCAAGTAAAAATATATGGAATCCTTTCAATAATCGACATGCTGATTCAAACAACACTAAAGAGTAAACTTACCTAAAATGGTAGCAATCCATCCACTTGTTGCTGAGAAATCTGAATAATTTGTTAAGAAGTGATTACACTGCAAGTACCGAATTTTTTGGAAGCCAAATTATTACCTCCAGAGTCGATTTCTTCCCCAAGACACGTCCACTGTTAAAAATTGGTAGTTCCTAGAGTTCTTTGTTTCCTTAGGTTCATTCCCGTATGTTATTTTTAACGAAGGACAGCCTATAACGACTGCTATACGCAAAAAGATGCATGAAATTAAGTTTCGAAACTGAAAGTTGAAAAATGGCGACTTTTCCGTGTTCTATGCGCAGGTGCGTTCAATCCAGCAATTTTATTAGTTCATATTATATGAACGCATGCCCAATAACTACACATATATTTTTAGATAGATGTCACTTGCGTTCATTATTTCACAGCAGTCCCTTCCCATGATGCACCTAATATTGCGGAAATATTTTCCTTTAGTGATAAAACAAATAACTCTCATCTTCGAAATACGTTTTCCATTCCTTGGCAATAATCTTTCATTTAGTATCACCGAACCAACTGCCGAAAAGTAATTCGAATCCTTCTGAATTGTGGGAATGAAGTACTTTCATTTTTGCACATGCGCTGCGCATGCGCATAGAACACGGGAAAGTCGCCATTTTTCAACTTTCAGTTTCGAAACTTAATTTCATGCATCTTTTTGCGTATAGCAGTCGTTATAGGCTGTCCTTCGTTAAAAATAACATACGGGAATGAACCTAAGGAAACAAAGAACTCTAGGAACTACCAACTTTTAACAGTGGACGTGTCTTGGGGAAGAAATCGACTCTGGAGGTAATAATTTGGCTTCCAAAAAATTCGGTATTTGCAGTGTAATCACTTCTTAACAAATTATTCAGATTTCTCAGCAAGTGGATGGATTGCTACCATATTAGGTAAGTTTACTCTTTAGTGTTGTTTGAATCAGCATGTCGATTATTGAAAGGATTCCATATATTTTTACTTGATATATCTAACAATCATTTTCTACAAATTTCAGGTAGCATCAAAACCGACCACCCTTTTTACTATTAATAAGCAGTAGACTCATCGGAGGGCTTGCCCGACGCCTCGAGACAAGCCCCTGTGATTCAATATTTGGCGATAATAGATTATTATCATTTGATGAGAAAAATCTAAGCTAAACATGATAACATTCGATCCACAATATACTTTTCTTTCATACATACTACATACTTACTTCACATTTCAGCACAAATAGTACATCCTACGTGATGAAACTGGTGTAGAAATGGAGATTCTTTTCACTTTTTTAAATTTATTGCAATGCATTAAAAATACGACCGCGTAAAAGAGTAGGCTAATTTAGCGAACGCGAACGTTCGTGTTTGAGTGTTAATTGAAAATTTACACTCGTTTTTCAATTTACCTTTTCTCGAGAGATAACCAACAACTTTGTTTTGGGCTAATGACGATTTAACTAAATAATTAGAAAGACCGAAGCTTTGTGGCTAGGTAAGTGGAAAAATCGAAAGGACAATCTTGGTGAAATTAAATGGAAACTATATCCAGAATACAGATTTTAGGAATTACCTTTAGTCCTTCAACAAGTGTTGTTGAAAATTATGTTAATTTTGAACCAAAATTTATTAAGTGTGAAAATATCATGAAATCATGGAATGGCAGAAGTTTATCTGTTATGGGTAAACTTGTCACTTTATTGTTAAATCACTTTTGCTATCTCAATTTTCGTATTTAATGCAATCATTTATTTTACCAGATAAATTGTTAAATAGAATTAACACCATGATGTTCAAGTTCTTATGGGCAAAAGGAAAATTCAAAGAGGAGGACTGTAAAAAGGTGCCTGATAAAGTAAAAAGATATATTTTATTACAAGGTTATGATTGTGGTGGTTTAAAAATGATTAACTGTAAAGACTTACAAATTGCATACATGACTCAATGGATTAAAAGATTAACGATGGCCACTGGAGAGCTATACCAGAGTATATGTATGGAAAATTAGGTAAAAAGTTTAGTGTTCTCAACAGCAATATAAGTGCTGATCAGTTGAAAGGTATTGCTCATTTGAGCATTTTCTATAAAAAATTATTATTTACATGGCTTGAGAATAGCAATTATACGGATGAATCTATAATATGGAATAACAGAAATATTGTATTAAGTAGATATCCCTTGTACTTTCACAAGTGGATAGAAAAGGGTTTAATCTACATATCAGATGTTGTTGTGAATGGACACTTAAAACCATATGAGGTAATTTCTGAATTAATAGGAAAAAATACTGAAACTTTAATGCAATATAACATTTTAAGAGCTTGTTTAAATCAAGGGAGAATTCATATGTATGGTTATATAAAACCCAATAAAACACAAGTATTTTGAGGGATAGAAATTGAAAAATTAACAGCACAGAAAACCAGGAATAAGCTTGTAAAAGAAAGGCAGTGTGATGTACAATTTAATGATTTGACTATTGGTACAGACATTTGGAATCAGCTATTTAAATGTACGTCAGACACTGGTCTTATAAGTATCCAATGGAAAATCTTCCATGGTATATATCCACATGGTGGTTTACTAAAAAAATATAACATAGAACAATCTGATTTATGTAAACTATGTAACGAAGTTGATAATATTGAACACTTTTTTTATACATTGTAATGCAATCAAAAATATTTGGAAAGATGTAGCTTTGAATGATAATGAGAAAATAGGGATAGGAATATTAGATCAAAAGTTATTATACAAGTCACTTGTAATAAAGAAAACTATACATGACTTTAAGTTTTCAAAGAATGAGAGAGAAAATATATCTGTAATGTTTGAATATGAAAAATATGTTAGAAACATTGTTGATTGAGAATATGTATTTAAAGTTTTTGAAATATTGCATTTTGAAATATTGATTTGTATGCTAATGAATAATAGAAATAAATTTATAAAACAAAACAAAAAAAACAACTAAATAATTATAATATCGATGCAAACAGAATTAAAACAAAGATATTATGATATGGTTGGGATATGGCATACATGTACATATGGCTTGTATTCTTTATATAAATTATAAGTGGGAGGGTTGCGGATAGGGTGTTTTTTAAAATTGCGCAACGCGCTTCCCTTTGCATTCGTTCGACTTCGCACTCTTAAAAGAGAGCGTCGTCTTCTCCTTTGGTGAACAGGAAAGTAGATCAAACTATAATATAGATGTCATGCGAATATGAAGTCATTGCAATCGTTCAAGATAAACTTTAATTTATAAATATAAATATGTATTTCATACCTACTGAAGTTCTAGGTACATAACGAGCGGGAATATATACTGTATCTAGCCAAGGCCCGGGGCGGGATGGATACACGCTGTATCCATCCCGGTCCCGCTCCTGAAATTTTTTTTCAAAATCTTTTTTTTGAATTTTTTTTTTGAATTTTTCCCCATTTTTCCAAATTTTTTTTTCACATTCTTTTTCAAAATTTTTTCACATTTTTTTCAAAATTGTTTTTCAAATTTCATTTTTCAATTTTTGGATAAGGTATATGACGTACCTTGAACATCAGTAGGTATGAAATACATCTGTTATGTACGATCGGTTTTGGATACAGGGTTTATCCCTCGGGAAATATGTGTATATCCCTCGGTCCCTGCGGTCCCTCTGGATATACACATATTTCCCTTGGGATAAAACCTGTATCCAAAACCTCCCAATACATAACCCTTATGTATATGCATGTATTTATTTATCAAAAACGTTGTTACAATGTTACTTGCGTTCTTTATATGCAGATTTAAAATTGTCAGAACGTATTTAACATAATCAATATAAAAGAGCCTATATACAAGGGGCCGCACCATATATTCTATTTATATTTATCTGAATATATGGATCGCCCCTTGTATATCCTTACTCGAGTCTCTATATAGAAGGCTTTGGACCTAAGTAACTATATCCTATTGACGGTACTGTCAAACGAGTGTGTGAGTGAAGAAGACATTCCTAGTTTTATAGAGTGTTTACTCTGTTATTTTGTAACATCCTTGAGCATTTCTTACAGAATAAAATAATTATTTCCAATATCAGTTCCAAAAACTCTCCGACTGTACATAAAGAGAGTCCAATAAATAATCCCATAGTGCCGCCAATGTTACTCAATAGGCCACTCAGCTGAAATAGGAAAGCATATTGTGATATGGCAATGGTTTTCACAAGGCTTATAATACAGGGTGGTCAAAAAAACGGCAACCCTAGCTTTTCCTAATATCTTTGTCATTCTAAGGAATAACTCCCTGATAAACTCTAACATTTATGTATTTTGGGGGAGCCAAGCACTTTATGAAGTAGTGGAGAGGCACCTCCACACAGACAGATGCACAGTTTAGTGTGTTCTCAGAAGATAGGGTCCTTTACCTTTGATGATGCTAACAGATATGCAATAACTGTCAACATCAAACTCTATTTTGTGATTCCCGTGGAGTTCTTAGGGACTTTAGGTGAACCCAGGGAGGTTGAAAGGCAGCAACAGTGGTTCCAACAAGACAGTACCATACCTCATACACCAAATGATGCACAATAATGGCTTTGGGACCACTTCAATGACCACATTATCAGCATTACAACAGACAATGAATGGGCACCCCATAGCCCAGATATGGCCCCATTTAATCTTTACCAGTGTTGATACCCCAAAGATAGAGTGTAGGGTAATAACACCAGAAAGACATTTGACCTCAAAATAAAGATCACATGTGTCATTCAAGCCATACTTGCTGAGGAATGCTGTTATGTCATTGTTAGGTTTGGAAAACGTGTGCAGGTTTGCCTACAGCACAATATTGGAAAACTGGGGCACCTTGTTTAAAGTGCTGTAACATTGCGACTATCGGTCCAATGTTCATGAAATAACACAGTCTAGTATGAAATTGAATGATGTACACGTGTGCCAAATATCAGGGCAAGATTTCTAAAAATGACAAAGATATGAGGAAAAATTAGGGTTGCCGTTTTTTTTACCACCCTGTATATAACTGTCTCCCCTTTATACGTTTACCAGTGATGAAAAACATATCCTGATCAATCTTTTCAAATTAACTCAATAAAAATAGATAATAGCAAACATATCTTTTGACAACAGTAAGTTGATCTCTGCTATACTGAGTGGCCCAAAAAAGTAGATTTACAGTTGTTCATTTACCTCTTTCTATAAACTGTAAACCTACTTCGGGTCACCATGTATTATAATTCCAAAAATCATCTTTATTGTTTTTACTCGAGTTTCTAGCCAATTACTTGCAATATAGTGGATGCTTTGTGAGAAGGTAATACTTTTTCGGCACTATAGAATTGACGATCCATGAGTATCTCGGTTGAGAAATTGATCATGAGTTTTAGACTGAGTAATCATTCTTTGGCCTATGGTCTTTCCAAAGACAAATTAAAAGGTTTTTAGCATGAATAAGTAGAATAAGGTTAAGCATTTTTTCAATTTTTAAACTTTCATTTCTCATTCTAATGCAATTTAAAAATTCTACGTGTATTTGTCAATGATGTACTGTTTTACTGTTCATAAGAAAATTCTGGTCATAAACAAAAATTCTTCCAATAGTTCTAGTAGATTTTTTCCAACATTTTACCCTTATTTTACGAATGCGCCTTTCATTATATAATAAAACTACAGTAATAATGTGAATGGTCAAATCATATTAATGGCTGAATAATAAAGAAACAACAAATTAGTAAATATCTTTACCGTATACACTGGCACTTCTTTCACCGTTTCTTCGTTGAAATCGTCAAAGTAGATATGCACCCGAAGTATATTGTTTCTGTAAAAATGCAATGTTATTGATGATCATTTGAAAATCCATTAAACTACAGTAAAACCTGAATATCAAAACAACTCTCTAATCTGAACACCCCTCAATGTGAACACCTATCCGTGCATTGGTCTCTATTTTGGTTTGTCCGATAGGCTCGCATATCAAGAGAACTTGATACGTGAACAACTCTCTAATCTGAACACCTCTTAATGTGGACACTTTTCCTAGCATTGGTCCCCATTTAGGTATGTCTGATAAACTCACATATTAGAAAACTTGATACGTGAACATCTCTCTAATCTGAACACCTCTTAATGTGAAAACTTTTCCTAGCATTGATTCCCATTTTGGTATGTCCGATAAACTCACATATTAGAAAACTTGATACGTGAACAACTCGCTAATCTGAACACCTCTTAATGTGAAAACTTTTCCAAGCATTGATTCCCATTTTGGTATGTCCGATAAACTCACATATTAGAAAACTTGATACGTGAACAACTCGCTAATCTGAACACCTCTTAATGTAAAAGCTTTTCCTAGCGTTGGTCCCCATTTTGGTCCCATGTCCCAGAGACTCACATATATATATATATATATATGGACATCTTGTAATATGAGCTCCTCTCAACGCGAACACCTTTCTAAGCATAGGTCCCCAGTTTGCTTTGCCCCATAGACTCACATCGAAAACTTGATATATGAATACCTGCTAATCCAAGCATTTTTGATTTTATGTGTCTGTTCCTTATGAATGGTTTATCGGATGACTGTTAGATGTTGATAAGGTACTTTCAAAAATATACTAAACAATCCAATTAGACAAACAATATATCTTATGCATTTATAGGAGTGAGGTATAGTAGAGTGAAAATGTTCTACTTTTGTTTGTTCTTACTTGATTTCGTCCAGTGTAATATCGTTCCCTCCTTTTAGTCGTTCGAGCAGATAATAATCATGATGCTGGCTTGGCCACGAAGAAACAGACGTCGAAATGTCATACTTACTTTCTCTATAAAAATTGAAGCATAATTTACAAGAAAATGCAGTGAGAAAATCACTGAAAAAATACGAAGACCAGAAGTTACAAGGGAATGGTTAAATGGAGATTTGTGAGGGAAAATGTTGTTTTAGTAAAATCAAAAGTAAAATATTATCTTATAACAGCAGCACACCCCATTTATATAGTAATTTCATATTTAAATGATTTGACCATAAAGTAGTAGGTTAAACCTTCAGTCGGCAGTTGCATTTACGAATGCTACGTAATTCAATTTACCATACCTGCATTTCGCCGGGCAATTGCAGTCGAGTTTGCCGGTGTTGTAATCATAGTAAACTTTCTGACGACATAGTTCTGCAATTTAAAAAGACTACCAATGAAACAACTTAGATTTGTTTGAGGTACAATAGATTAATAAATAATCTCCAAATGCATTAAAATGAGGTAACTCCCCCAAGCCCGTAGCTAGTTTGTGCCAAGGGGATTAAAAAATTCCAGTGGGAAGGGGGTTGAATTTTACAGTTTTTGCCCAAAATCTCTTGTATTCTATTTATCACCTTCCGTTAAATTTGACAGTTTTGGCCGAAAATTCCTTGAAAGGTGCTCAAAATAATGAAAGACTACATGATTTTGAAAGAATCGTAGACCATGAGGGGAAGGGCTGGCTACGGACCTAACCTTCTTTGAGTCTTAAATGATGGTTTTGAGATGGAAACAACTGGCCTGAAAATTGTATTCTATTTATCACCTTCCGTTCTGTTGAAATAGCTGCACCTGTGCTCGTCTTCGTCCACTATTCTATCGAAACATTTACATCTTTCAAAAAGCTTCGCCTCTAGACAATCCATCATGCATCCCTGGAAAATAAAATCGCCCTATACCGTTTATACATCTTAATTTTTCTAAACTACGGATGCGTGTTATTCATGTATACACAGGTGTGTCATTGAGAAATGTTTCATATATCCATGCTGTCGGGTTCTGCTGGAATACGATCGCCTTCACCCTACCCGGCAGATCCACCATTTAATATTCAACCGAAGTAATTTTGAGTCAAATGAATTTTAGTAATATTATTTCCTTTAGATTTTTGGTTCCATGACCGTCTGTCTTGAATTTTGAATCTCTCGTTTCATGCGCTTTACATCTGGCGTACACTGTCACCACGTGGCATCTCAAATTACCAAACAAGATGAGGCATCTAGCAAAACTTCGCTCCATTCATATGCTCGCTTCTCGAGTAGTCTTGCAACCATATCTTTTTAGATTTTAAATAACGTATTTGGAAATTCCAGTAATCACTGGCGACACCGTTCTCCAGTACTCTTTTCCGAGCTTTAATTACCGCAAAATACTAATATTTTACTAGAAGTGTCACATTTAATAAATAATAATTGACATGTATCAAACATTCCATATCGGCCAACTAATTCCCGTCCATATTTTGCACTGAATATTTCTTAAAACTGTTTCCTGTAGTCGTATATAAATAAACTACTTACAAGTACTGTATAATCTCCACGATTAGGCTTTGTGGCAGACTTTTCATTTCCGTTCATGCAATTTGATGGATATGGATAAGTTTGACGTTCGTATTTGCTCTGCAAAGTATTGAAACCAAGACTGACTCGTACAATTAAAATACAAGGTGTCCCGAAAGTTAGAGGGCTGGTTCTTCCCTAGGTTACACAGTGTGCTAAACACTTTTTACGATTTCTATTGTTGATACTTAATTGAGTTTTCAATACAACCGTGTATATTTAGTGAAACTGCATGCATTGATTTAGATATTATTCGAATTACTTTAAATAATACTAAATAAGGTTACGGTTATAAGTTTATTGTTTTCTTCAAAATATTTACAAACATATTATATTATTTAACAATTCAAATTTTCGTGAAACTTACCAAGCGGGTTCGAATGAGCATCTCATTGCCTACAGACACGGTTAAACCCTCGCTTTCAGGATACGAAACGACGGGGTTATCATGCACTGATACCCTGACTCCGTAAGTTGGGGAGAGAAGGCCTGTGTATTCATCTTGCTCGACGTTTAACGTGAGTCTCAGACCTGAAAATTATAAGGCACTAACTATAAAATATAATCCAACAACTATACTTCCGACCAATACTAGTACAGTAGAACCTGTGTAAGTGGAACACCTTCCGTTCTGCCAAAAAGCGTTCCACTTAGGAGGTGTTCCACTTACGGAGGTTTTGGGTTCGCGGGGATTTAACATACATACAAGATTAAATTAAGAGTTGATATGTATCACTGAAAATAAGATTCTCCGATCATTGCAGGGCAGCTATATAGCCTTAATTATCCATTTGTTTTACTCAAAAAGTTATCTGACATTCTTAATCCTCCTCATTCTGCCAAAAATGTTTTCTGACATTCTCAATCCTCCTCATTCTCCTCAGACACTTAGATAAGGCAATTAAGTTTTAAAGACTTGCTCCTAATGCTAATAATTCATTTGTTTTTTAACTGGCATTCTTAAGCTTACTTATTAAGTATGAAACAAACGGCAAGAGGTAAGAGGCAAGAGCATCACATGTCCATCTCTTAATCCAATTTACTGAATGATAATCTTATGAAATTCTAATTTGCTAATTATCAAATTAATTAGTGGTAGCATCACATGTTGATCTCTACAGGAGGTTAATCCAATTGACTATATGGTAATCCATTAAAATCCTATTTTGCTAATTATCACATTATTACCTGTTTTCATACCCAGATATCACTGTAGGAGGTTAATTTTGTTTACATAAGTATCAATACTGAAATTTATGGAAAATTGACTGTTCCACTTAGCAGGTTAATTTTTCAATATGGGGTGTTCACTGTTCAAGTTTGGAGGTGTTCCACTTACAGAGGTTCAATTAACATTGAGTCAATGGGTTTTTAGGGATAACGGGACTTTGAAAAAGCGTTCCACTTGCGAGGTGTTCCACTTACGGAGATGTTCCACTTAGCAGGTTCTACTGTACTACTAATTTGCTTAAATTAGAGACATGTTTTACTAGTATATGTCTTTGCTTAAATTCAGGGTAATCATTAAGTTCTGGAAAGTGGGCTGCCATTTCAATGTTTCTCAACCAATCTAGTTTAAACTGCAGTTAAAAATATTTGAAAACTTTAAAAATCCCAGAAATAAGTCCACCGAATAGGTATTAATTAAACACACTTTTGCATAAAGTAAAATATAAACGAATTCAAATTTTGTTTAACCCGCAACGCCATTTGTCACGTTGCCACAGTAACAATTATTATCCATTGTGACGTCATATTACGACGAGACTGTTTTATCCAACTCACAATTTCATTTCCCATTTACCTCGAAAAGTTTGAGTAAATTGGTTGAAAAATGATGAAATGACAAATCCCAGAACTTAGTGATCACCCTGTATAATTGCCCTCGCAGCAATCATTATTTGGTGCTTTTTTGGACAACCATTAATATGTGATGGAAAAAGCATAAGTACTGGCCATTAGGTGAAATTATGGTCGAAGGCAGTATTAATGATTTATCTAACCTAAAATCCACATTCACTCTTATGGACAGGTAAATGGTCAATGATCCATTAAGCTTACACTTTACTATATTCACCTTAAAATTTGATTTCTTTTGTATTGACTATTCAGATATTGATACTACAGTAAAATTTTTAATGTTTGTGAGTACTTCGAATTTAAAAAATAAGCAATCAAATGACCAAATGGAAACAGTTTATGTAAAAATAGAAACATTTATATTTATCCTAACTTTTGTATATTTTAGTTCGTTTTGTAGTTTAGCTATCATATCTGTTTCCTCTTATATTTTGATACTTCTCTGCCATGTTATTTTCGGAAAAATTAACATGGCTGAAACTCCCTAAATTACAAAAGGACACAGGTTTGCTGCACATTATACATTACAAAAGTTAGGATAAATGTTTCTATTTTTACATAAACTGTTTCCATTTGGTCATTTGATTGCTTATTTTTTAAATTCAAAGTACTCACAAACATTTTAAATTTTACTATAGAGGTAAATGAATTGATGAGTGAGTAAATGAGTAAATTGTAATTTTTAATTCAGCTTTAGTGCACTGCATCTAACAGAGAATTTGGTAAGTTAGCTTATGATGTAGGTAGCAACACAAAAAATAGTTTTATTTTAAAGAATACACAGTAACAAAAGAATAGTACGTGTAGATTTGTAGATTATTTTTAGATAATGAAAACTATCAAAGCTGTCAGTCGTCTCTTGTGCCACACTGGTTTTTGATATCTTGCCAAGTGTCCAATCTTTAAAAACAATAGGAAATCAATAAATTCTTCTTTTATTACAACTGTACATTAAAATAAAATACAGTTCATTCTCTAGTGTTACCTAAGTGGGTTTTAAGTATAAACAACAAATTAAAGCATTTCATTTTGCCTCCTAAATACTATGCTTTTCCTGAGTACTAACGATGTGAGGTACAAGTATTTGGCGAAAGTGTACTTACACCATAAATCACCTAATTGGAAAATCGGACTGTGCACTGTATTATAATATTAAAAAAATACCATAACGTGATCCAAAATTAGTTGTTAGAAGGGATCGTTCTCCTCCCGGTTTGTTAATCGCACTGTTCCAGGTGTAGCATTTGCCATAATACTTGTTGTAACTCTCTAGCCAATGGTCGCTGGTCCTTGAAACAAACGAACAAACATTCCACTGAATAAACTTTTAACGACTCAAGTTTTCCATAATGCCATACATGAGTGAACTCCGGTATATACATGTCCAAGAATATTTGTCTGAATCACTTATACTTCCCTTTTTATAATGTTAATGGACGTTTCTATATCTCTATTTTTCTAGATTTGATAAAATATTTCAATTTATTTTACAGAAGGTAAAAAAGGATTATGAGGAAAACAATAGTAGGATTTTTGAAAAGACTCTTTCCAACACCATCTCCTTAATGCAATTAAATCTCATTCATACTTACATATTGCAGTTCTTCCCATCGATTGTACAGAGAGCCACCAAATCTGACACATTGTGTCCATAATCGTCAAGCTGAAGCGATGTGGGGGTTGCCATTCCAATCGTATCGCTCAAATCACCGGCGGCTGAAAGATTTAATATCTCAACGAAGTTATTTGGGTCCTTGATCTTCATAAATGGCGATTCCTTGAAGATAAAAGGCTCGTTATAGCCTGATTCCGACAACGGTCTTTCATCATTTTTCTGTACTGTTGGAGCGGTGACTTCGTCAATTGGATTTACGGTTGTGTCTTTAGTTGTTGTACTTGGGGTTTTGTCGGTGGCGCAAGTATCTGGACAGATACAAGAGCAGGAAGTATTGTTTGCAATAGGCGTTACTGTATCAGATGAAACACCGACACTAGTGGTATAGCCTTCACTTATAGCGTTTGTTGTATTATGGTCAGTATTCGTAGTTTGATCAGTTGTAACTGTCGATGCATCATCATTCGTAGTTTGATCAGTTGTAACTGTCGATGCATCAGTATTTGTAATTTGATCAGTTGTAACTGTCGATGCATCTGCATTTGTAATTTGATCAGTTGTAACTGTCGATGCATCAGCATTTGTAATTTGATCAGTTGTAACTGTCGATGCATCAGCATTCGGAGTTTGATCAGTTGTAACTGTCGATGCATCATCATTTGTAGTTTGATCAGTTGTAACTGTCGATGCATCAGCATTCGTAGTTTGATCAGTTGTAACTGTCGATGTATCAGCATTTGTAGTTTGATCAGTTGTAACAGTCGATGCATCAGCATTCGTAGTTTGATCAGTTGTAACTACCGATGCATCAGCATTCGTAGTTTGATCAGTTGTAACTGTCGATGCATCAGCATTCGGAGTTTGATCAGTTGTAACTGTCGATGCATCATCATTTGTAGTTTGATCAGTTGTAACTGTCGATGCATCAGCATTCGTAGTTTGATCAGTTGTAACTGTCGATGTATCAGCATTTGTGGTTTGATCAGTTGTAACAGTCGATGCATCAGCATTCGTAGTTTGATCAGTTGTAACTACCGATGCATCAGCATTCGTAGTTTGATCAGTTGTAACTGTCGATGTATCAGCATTTGTGGTTTGATCAGTTGTAACAGTCGATGCATCAGCATTCGTAGTTTGATCAGTTGTAACTACCGATGCATCAGCATTCGTAGTTTGATCAGTTGTAACTGTCGATGCATCAGCATTCGTAGTTTGATCAGTTGTAACTGTCGATGCATCAGTATTTGTAATTTGATCAGTTGTAACTGTCGATGCATCAGCATTCGTAGTTTGATCAGTTGTAACTGTCGATGTATCAGCATTTGTAATTTGATCAGTTGTAACTGTCGATGCATCAGCATTTGTAATTTGATCAGTTGTAACTGTCGATGCATCAGCATTTGTAATTTGATTAGTTGTAACTGTCGATGTATCAGCATTTGTAGTTTGATCAGTTGTAACTGTCGATGCATCAGCATTCGTAGTTTGATCAGTTGTAACTGTCGATGCATCAACATTTGTAGTTTGATCAGTTGTAACTGTCGATGCATCAGCATTCGTAGTTTGATCAGTTGTAGCTGTCGATGTATCAGCATTTGTGGTTTGATCAGTTGTAACAGTCGATGCATCAGCATTCGTAGTTTGATCAGTTGTAACTGCCGATGCATCAGCATTTGTGGTTTGATCAGTTGTAACTGTCGATGCATCAGCATTTGTAGTTTGATCAGTTGTAAATGTCGATGCATCAGCATTCGTAGTTTGATCAGTTGTAACTGTCGATGCATCTGCATTCGTAGTTTGATCAGTTGTAACTGTCGATGCATCTGCATTCGTAGTTTGATCAGTTGTAACTGTCGATGTATCTGCATTTGTGGTTTGATCAGTTGTAACTGTCGATGCATCAGTATTTGTAGTTTGATTAGTTGTAACTGTCGATGCATCAGCATTTGTAGTTTGATCAGTTGTAACTATCGATGCATCAGCATTTGTAATTTGATCAGTTGTAACTGTCGATGCATCAGCATTTGTAGTTTGATCAGTTGTTACTGTCGATGTATCAGCATTTGTGGTTTGATCAGTTGTAACTGTCGATGCATCAGCATTCGTAGTTTGATCAGTTGCAGTTGTTGTTGCATCAGTAGTTTGATTTGTTGCAGCTGTTGTTTCATCGCTGATTGTAGTTTGATCAGTTGCAGCTGTTGTTGCATCAGTAATTGTAGTTTGATCAGTTGTAAATGTCGATGCATCAGCAGTTGTAATTTGATCAGTTGTTACTGCCGATGCATCAGCATTTGTAGTTTGATCAGTTGTAACTGTCAATACATTAGCATTTGTAGTTTGGTCAGTTGTTGCGGTTGTTGAATCAGTAACTGTAGCTTGATCTGTTGAAGCTAATGTTGTATCAGTAACTGTAGTTTGATCAGTTGTAGCTGTTGTTGAATCAGTAACTGTAGTTTGATCAGTTGCAGCTGTTGTTGAATCAGTAACTGTAGCTTGATCAGTTGTACCTGTTGTTGAATCAGTAACTGTAGTTTGATCAGTTGCAGCTGTTGCTGAATCAGTAACTGTAGTTTGATCAATTGTAGCTGTTGTTAAATCAGTAACTGTAGCTGTTGTTGAATCCGTAATTGAAGTTTGATCAGTTACATCTGTTTTTGAATCAGTAATTGTAGTTTGATCAGTTGCGGCTATTGTTGAATCAGTAACTGTAGTTTGATCAGTTGCAGCTGTCGTTGAATCAATAATTGTAGTTTGATCAGTTGTAGTTCTTGTTGCATCAGTAATTGTAGTTTGATTATTTGTAGCTGTTGTTGAATCAGTAATTGTAGTTTGATCTGTTATAGCTGTTGTTGAATCAGTAATCGTAGTTTGATCAGTTGCAGCTGTTGTTGAATCAGTAATTGTAGTTCGATCAGTTATAGCTGTTGTTGCATCAGTAATTGTAGTTTGATCAATTGCAGCTGTTGTTGAATCAGTAATTGTAGTTTGATCAGTTGCAGTTGTTGTTGCATCAGTAATTGTAGTTTGATTATTTGTAGCTGTTGTTGAATCAGTAACTGTTGTTTGATCAGTAATAGCTATTGTTGAATTAGTAACTGTAGTTTGATCGGTTGCAGCTGTTGTTCCATCACTTATTGTAGTTTGATCAGTTATCGCTGTTGTTGTATCAGTAATTGTAGTTTGATCGGTTATAGCTGTTGTTGCATCGGTAACTGTAGTTTGATCAGTTATAGCTGTTGTTGAATCAGTAATCGTAGTTTGATCGGTTGCAGCTGTTGTTGCATCAGTTATTGTAGTTTGCTCGGTTATAGCTGTTGTTGCATCAGTAACTGTAGTTTGATCAGTGGCAGCTGTTGTTGCATCAGTAATTGTAGTTTGATCAGTTATAACTGTTGTTGAATCAGTAATTGTAGTTTGATCAGTTATAACTGTTGTTGAATCAGTAACTGTAGTTTGATCAGTTATAACTGTTGTTGAATTAGTAATTGGAGTTTGATCAGTTATAACTGTTGTTGAATCAGTAATTGTAGTTTGATCGGTTATAGCTGTTGTTGCATCAGTAACTGTAGCTTGATCAGTTATAACTGTTGTTGAATCAGTAATTGTAGTTTTATCAGTTACAGCTGTTGTTGCATCATTAACTGTAGTTTGATCAGTTATAGCTGTTGTTGAATCAGTAATTGTAGTATGATCAGTTGCAGCTGTTGTTGCATCAGTAATTGTAGTTTGATCAGTTATAGCTATTGTTGAATAAGTAACTGTAGTTTGATCAGTTATAGCCGTTGTTGAATCAGTAATTGTAGTTTGATCAGTTGCAGCTGTTGTTGCATCAGTAATTGTAGTTTGATCAGTTATAGCTATTGTTGAATTAGTAACTGTAGTTTGATCAGTTATAGCTGTTGTTGAATCAGTAATTGTAGTTTGATCAGTTATAGCTATTGTTGAATTAGTAACTGTAGTTTGATCAGTTATAGCTATTGTTGAATCAGTAATTGTAGTTTGATCAGTTGCAGCTGTTGTTGCATCAGTAATTGTAGTTTGATCAGTTGTCGTTGTGTTTGCATCAGTAATTGTAGTTTGATCAGATATAGCTATTGTTGAATCAGTAATTGTAGTTTGATCAGTTGCAGCTGTTGTTGCATCAGTAATTGTAGTTTGATCAGTTATCGTTGTGTTTGCATCAGTAATTGTAGTTTGATCAGTTGTCGTTGTGTTTGTATCAGTAATTGTAGTTTGATCAGTAATAGTAATTGTTGAATCAGTAACTATAGTTTGATCTGTTGTAGGTGTTGTTGCATCAGTAATTGTAGTTTGATCAGTTGTCGTTGTGTTTGCATCAGTAATTGTAGTTTGATCAGTCATAGCTGTTGTTGTATCAGTAGTTGAAGTCTGATCAGTTGCAGTTGTTGTTGCATTAGTAATTGTAGTTTGATCAGTAATTGTTGTTTGATCAGTTATAGCTGCTGTTGATTTAGTAACTGTAGTTTGATCAGTTGTAGCTGTACTTGAATCAGTGACTGTAGTTTGATTAGTTGTAGCTATTGTTGCATTAGTAATTGTAGTTTGATCAGTTGCAGCTGTTGTTGCATCAGTAATTGTAGTTTGATCAGTTGCAGCTGTTGTTGCATCAGTAGCTGTAGTTTGATCAGTTCTAACTGTTGTTGAATCAGTAATTGTAGTTCGATCAGTTATAGCTGTTGTTGCATCAGTAATTGTAGTTTGATCAATTGCAGCTGTTGTTGCATCAGTAATTGTAGTTTGATCAGTTGCAGCTGTTGTTGCATCAGTAGCTGTAGTTTGATCAGTTGTAGGTGTTGTTGCATCAGTTACTGTAGTTTGATCAGTTGCAGCTGTTGTTGCATCAGTAGCTGTAGTTAGATCAGTTGCAGCTGTTGTTGAATCAGTAACTGTAGTTTGATCAGTTGTAGTTATTGTTTCATCGTGCTCATGATCAATTTGTCTCTTTCTTTCTCTTGCAGATTTAGACATCGTGACTCTATCCAGGTCAACTAAGCTTTGGAACACAGTCCCTTGTATTTTACTTTTGCGCAACATGTTAATATTGCATATTGTCACAGCAGGAAATTTCATATACGTCCTGAAACATACAATCAACTTATGTAGTATCGTTAAAGGTCCTGAAACATGCATTCAAATAAAGTAGTATCGTTATGCGTCTTGGAACATACATTCAAATAAAGTAGTATCGTTATGCGTCTTGGAACATACAATTAAATAAAGTTCCTGGAACACACAATCAACTTAAGTAGTATCATTATACGTCATGGAACACAAAATCAACTTAAGTAGTATCATTATACGTCCTGGAACACAAAATCAACTTAAGTAGTATCATTATACGTCATGGAACACAAAATCAACTTAAGTAGTATCATTATACGTCCTGGAACACACAATCAACTTAAGTAGTATCATTATACGTCCTGGAACACACAATCAACTTAAGTAGTATCGTAATACGTCATGGAACACAAAATCAACTTAAGTAGTATCATTATACGTCCTGGAACACAAAATCAACTTAAGTAGTATCATTATACGTCCTGGAACACAAAATCAACTTAAGTAGTATCATTATACGTCCTGGAACACACAATCAACTTAAGTAGTATCATTATACGTCCTGGAACACACAATCAACTTAAGTAGTATCATTATACGTCCTGGAACACACAATCAACTTAAGTAGTATCGTAATACGTCCTGGAACACAAAATCAACTTAAGTAGTATCATTATACGTCATGGAACACAAAATCAACTTAAGTAGTATCATTATACGTCCTGGAACACAAAATCAACTTAAGTAGTATCATTATACGTCCTGGAACACACAATCAACTTAAGTAGTATCATTATACGTCCTGGAACACACAATCAACTTAAGTAGTATCATTATACGTCCTGGAACACACAATCAACTTAAGTAGTATCGTAATACGTCCTGGAACACACAATCAACTTAAGTAGTATCATTATACGTCCTGGAACACACAATCAACTTAAGTAGTATCGTAATACGTCCTGGAACACACAATCAACTTAAGTAGTATCATTATACGTCCTGGAACACAAAATCAACTTAAGTAGTATCATTATACGTCCTGTAACACACAATCAACTTAAGTAGTATCGTAATACGTCCTGGAACACACAATCAACTTAAGTAGTATCATTATACGTCCTGTAACACACAATCAACTTAAGTAGTATCGTAATACGTCCTGGAACATACAATCTACAGTAGTATCATTATACGTCCTGGAACACACAATCAACTTAAGTAGTATCATTATACGTCCTGGAACACACAATCAACTTAAGTAGTATCGTAATACGTCCTGGAACACACAATCAACTTAAGTAGTATCATTATACGTCCTGGAACACAAAATCAACTTAAGTAGTATCATTATACGTCCTGGAACACACAATCAACTTAAGTAGTATCGTAATACGTCCTGGAACACACAATCAACTTAAGTAGTATCATTATACGTCCTGGAACACACAATCAACTTAAGTAGTATCGTAATACGTCCTGGAACATACAATCAACTTAAGTAGTATCGTAATACGTCCTGGAACACACAATCAACTTAAGTAGTATCGTAATACGTCCTGGAACACACAATCAACGTAAGTAGTATCGTAATACGTCCTGGAACACAAAATCAACTTAAGTAGTATCATTATACGTCCTGGAACACACAATCAACTTAAGTAGTATCATTATACGTCCTGGAACACACAATCAACTTAAGTAGTATCATTATACGTCCTGGAACACACAATCAACTTAAGTAGTATCGTAATACGTCCTGGAACACACAATCAACTTAAGTAGTATCATTATACGTCCTGGAACACACAATCAACTTAAGTAGTATCGTAATACGTCCTGGAACATACAATCAACTTAAGTAGTATCGTAATACGTCCTGGAACACACAATCAACTTAAGTAGTATCATTATACGTCCTGGAACACACAATCAACTTAAGTAGTACCGTAATACGTCCTGGAACATACAATCAACTTAAGTAGTATCGTAATACGTCCTGGAACATACAATCTTCAATAGTATCGTTATAGTAAAGAGAAAACAGATGTTTTCTTCTTTTGCTAATTTGTGAACCATCCGCAGATAAGTTTCTTTCAAGTTTGATTTCAGGCATTTAATAAATTACATAAAAATTAACAACCACCAGTCTTGCCACACATGCCTACGAAGAGGACGTCGTCGTAAAGACAACCCAGATATATAGATAGATAAATGAATGAATAAATAGAAAATAAATAAGCAAATGAATAAATATTTAATATAATAGTTTGGCAATATGACTTATGAAAACAATAAAGGTTCTGTACTGTATTCCATAGATTACACATAGGTTCGTTGAACTAATTTAGAGTGATAGCAATTAACGATTCATGCCCAATACATAATATAGTATCATACAGTACACTATATGCAGCTATTAATTTTGGATGGCAGCGGGAATAAGAGAATTACCAAATTTAATCAATTAATGTGATGTCATTTATAATGCATATAACCCAATCAAGTTTTATAACACCTTATAATTTTTTCTCAATAATCATATCTGTTTCATCGGTGTCATTAATATCTAGTTCTATAACATGGCCACAAAATCTCACTTCATATCCGAATTTCTAGATACTATAGCTAGTACCTTGTTGTGGTGAGGAAGTGGAAATAAAGCAAAAGTTCAGAAACCATATCAAACTGCCAATGCAAAATGATTAGTCCCAAATTATCTATTGCTATCAATTCATCATGAAAATGCTGATAATACGTAAGCCTAAGTCTCCAAAAGTCTTTTGGCAATTCATGATAAAAATGTTGACAACACGAAAGTCCCGAAAATTTATGTTAAAAATGTTGATAACACTTAAGTCCCCAAAAGTCTATTGCCAATTTATGATAAAAATGCTGTTAATACGAAAGTCCCCAAAAATCTATTGTCAATCCATGTTAAAAATGATGATAACACGTATGTCCCCTAAAGTCTATTGTCAATTCATGATAAAATGCTGATAACACATACGTCCCCAAATATCTATTGCCAATTTATGATAACATATGCTGATAACACGTAAGTCCCCAAAGGTCTATGGCCAATGCATGATAAAATTCTGCTAACGCATAAGTTCCCAAAGGTCTAGTGCTTATTTATGATAACAGAATTATAACACAATTATAAAAACAGAATGATAATGACAACGATAGCAACGAATATCCAATGCTAAATCATTATACAAAATTATAAAAACATAATCTAATGGCAATTCATGCATACAAAATGATAAAGAATACAAGTTTCAAAATCTAAAACTAATTCATGATAATGATGAAAACACGAATCACAAAGAGCTCATGCAAACGCTTCATGAAACGTGATAAAAATTGATTGATTATTCAACTATATTAATTAATTGCATAAAGGATAAAATTCTAAAACTTCACATACTGTAGTTTAATCTCGCTCTTGATCAGAACCGGCCATTTGTTGTAGTCCTTGATAAGTTCCACTACCTGAAAAGTGAAATATCCAAAACAACCGAAAAATATACTAAGCCATACAATTCTACGAAACACATTCACGCTAGCTTTTAAAGCTCGTGGAAGGCCGTGGAGCGTTGTATTGTCTGCAAAATCGAATATGAGTTCCTTGAATGTTGGAAGCTTTTCTCTTCGTTCAGCATGATTTTTAACATCATCATCTGGTAGTATTGTAATTTCCATCATGTCGAATCTTTTTGTCTCAAGACTGCTGCCAATTTCTCTAACTTCTCTATAATTATAGCGTTATTGCAGTTTTTGGTACTGTTATGCTGTCTTTGTGTACTTGCTACAGTTTTTCACTAATTTGATGCTTTTCCTTTATTCTTGCTTTAAGTCCTGAAAAATACGCTTAAGAGGGGTTGGCCCCAGTGCTGATATCCCTGATGTGATGCAGATACAGATGTTTTAATGGGTGAGACCTTTGTATCATTAAAAATGTTGAAATGTACATGAGCAAATGTCGCTATATTTTTATTTGTCTTACATCCTCAAATGCCATGGAAATGACGGTCTACTATTGCTTCCAATATACCGATTGTAATTCAAAGGATCACGCGGCGGTGTCGAATGCCTTTTTTCCTCAAGAAATGTGACAATAAGTTAGTTCTAGTATTCGCTCTCTTCTTCACTGTCAAAATTGTAATTATCTCTATGCATCTAGGCGAAGGTACCAAATCAAAGCTGTATTGCGCGTTTGAAAATTTATATAAGATCCTGGAAGAAATTTTGGTAGCATGTTCTCAGTTTCTAATAACAAAATGATAAATACTAGTGAGTACCTTGCATAACGTACCATCATATATCACATCTGATTAAAGAAGGGTTGTAAATGAACTGCAAAATGAACAGCCTGACCATCTGCCTTCAAGTGATACAACTAAGCTTTTCTCCATCTAAAATGTCACTCGAGAAAAGCTTATGTGATACACTGGAACTAGTGCTTGATGGGCATGGCACGAGGGTGCTTTGTTAAACCCTTCCCAATAAACACCATCAACCTTTGCCACAAAACTAGGACCTATAATTGTCTCTGTTTTTGAGATTATAGTTTGTCTGTATCAACCTGCCATTTGCTACAAACGCCGAACGCTAAGCACCGAACACTGTCCACAAAAGAGTTGGAGACTTTAACAATATGTCACCACGTGTGGTGGTGACATATAATAAAGTATTTCTAATTTTGAACTTTTTAGGATTTTATAAGCTATTTTGCCTACACAGGTGTAAGAGGGTAGGTGGTCCTATCAAATTTCGGTTCTACTCTCTATTGATTTATATGGTGAACTTATTACAATTATTTTCCTTATTATTTATACACAGTCAGAGCCAGCAAGGGCCGTTTGGAAAGGGGACCATAATTTATTTTACACCGGCTTTCTTGTATGAAGGATAGCTATAGTACACGTAAGATTGCATTTAGGATACCAGGCAATGCTCTTTTGGACATTGCTTATGGTTAAGTGTATTGCTAAATACAAATTCAAGCTTTTGTTCACTATGACACATGCTACGAGTGATACGGGTTCAAGAATAAAATATCACTGTAAACTTCTGTTTTGCTCATGCAAGTATTTATGGAGTAACGGTACTCAAAAATCAAAATGCTCTCTTTATAACTTTTTCTAAATCAGTCCAGAAATGTGCAAGATAATCTGAAATACTCATATATGAGTTTAATACAATTAGAATGTAGTCAGTTAGAAATATGTACTTTTTCTAGAATATAAAACTAGAAACTAATAACCAAACGGGTAGTGTATGGCAGGTGATTTTTGATATAAATAATTGATCACCATAAAATACGTAAAAGTCCAAAGGATAATAAAATTATATGTTTGACAGAGATCGGGATCCCCCTCGAGAGGTTATCGAAAGTGTCGGACTTGTTTTCAAAAGATCGCATTTATATATCAGCAAAAACACTTGATAAAGAATTCTTTTTTGTTATACTATATAATTAAACGAGCGCGTTCCTTTTTTTGTTGTGCAAATGACAAATTTTTATTGTAAGCTCCGACAATATATATTTTTCTCAATTTCTCTTACTTCAATAACCTTAAAACAACTTCTCGTCGAAGTCTCGTTTTCAGCGAGACATCGAGGAATTAGCATATCTAAGAGAGGGAGAAACCCCAGGGTTCAAAGATGACACACGCTTATAATGTAAATCTGTATTGAGATGACATCATCGCTGATTGGTTTAGCGAGTCGATCGTTGATTGGAAAACTAGGTCAATTTGAAAACTTTGAAAACCAAGATGGAGCGTAAGCAATATACGTACTTCCGGGAAAGGAGGTGCGCGAAGGAGGAAATCGTATGTCATCAATTGAATCATGTCTATCCGTTCATACAACATCAGATGATAAAATAACATTTATTTTTGCAATTTAAGACGGTAGAGGTCTCTTCTGCAAAATGATGAACATGAGAAGCTTATTGTATTTATACATTTATCTTTTAAATACTTTATTGCTACATATGTATAAGTCAATATGATAAGCTGAATACATAATATGTATATATACCTTCACCAGAATTGTGTATTTGAGATTAAAGCTAAGATGCAAATAAATGTCTGAATTCATTAAAACTGGAAAAAGAAAACACTCTAAAGCTAATGACATAGGGTGGACATGGACACTTCTGACTCATGGAAAATGAGAAAATAAAAAGGTGACGAGACGCAGTTATTAACAATGGTTTTTCAAAAAGTTAGATTGATATTTTTGCTTCGAAGAAACATCACTGGGGGTATCGTAAAGCAACAACACTTTGGGGTCAAGATGGTCAGCCTTCCGGTTATAGATTTTCGTAAAATATTTTGTTTTCCCAAATTAAACCCATTTCTAAGACGAGTTTCTCAATAATCATACACGTGCATTTAGCGCACGATCTACATGTATATTTTAACAAACTGACATTGGTATACATGTAGCATCATCAAGAAGCGATAAATTCACGGTTTGAGTTCCTTACTATTGTAATGAACTTCGATAGCAAGTCGCTACTACAGCTGACGCTACTACAGTCTCAGCTGTAGTGGCTAGCCCTCATTGCTGGGGGATAGAGCGTCTGACTCGACAGCGGAAGGTCCTGGGTTCGATTCCCGTGCGGGGCATTGAATTTAGCACACTCTCTTTCGAGTCTAGTATCTGGCTCGGTACACTACAGCTCCCCGACGGGCGTGCCGTTACACTATTGATACCCCCAGTGATATAGAATTGGCCCATTATCACTATGATGAAGGCGTTGTATGTACAGCCAGAAATCAATATAGTCATAATCAATAAAACGACTGTCGTATACTTGCCATGTCATATCTGCTCTTTTCATGAGATTCCATTTGAAAAATAAAGAAATATTAGAGAGGTAATTGATCACTCCTCGCATGGCATAAACACAGCTAAAAGCTAGCATTAAAATTATATTTTAGTTTATAGTTTAAAAGGACTTTGTATTACTTGAACCTTGACAATCATTGTAATCATAATGTCTATTACCATGATAACTGTTGTTAAAAACACTATTGTCTTTTTTAGGTGTCCGCTTTACTTCGCTGCATTCTCAATGGTTTGTGTGTCAAGTCCCATCAGACTGTGTCCTCCATCTAGCACAACTAGAGCGCCATTCATCATAGACGCATCATCTGATGACAGATACGCAATCAGTTTCGCAGAATCTTCAGGAACGCCAACTTTTTTTAAGGGGACAGCGGGTGCCCATTTAGCTAAAAAGTCTTCCTCTCCTTCTTTGACCAGTCCACTTTTGATGGCAATATTGGTTTTAGTACCACCAGGGCATACTGCATTCACTCGGACTCCCTCAGAACCATATTCTATCCCTGCGCATTGAGTAAACTGATTCAGTACTGCTTTTGCAATTGCATACATTTCATATCCAAGAGCCTGTGGTCTTATTCCTGAAATGCTTGATACATTAACAATGTTTCCTTTGTTTTTCTTAAGTTCTGGAAAACATTTCTGAGAGAGAAATATAGGAGCCTTAACTGCTACATTCATTCTGGTATCAAATTGCTCCTCTGTTACTGTCTTAGGTGTACATGATTCGGCTATACAAGCATTGTTTACAAGGACATCAATACGACCAAACTCTTTCATTGCAGTTTCATATAGTCGCTGTATCAATGTTTTGTCACAGTCAAAGTCACCTTGGACCATGGGAAATTTGGCGGTTTTCGAACCAACTTCTTTGCATTCTCGTACAGCTTGTTCCAGCGTTTTCAAGTCTCTACCATGTATGACAACATTGGCTCCTTCTTTTGCCATCAACAGGGCAGTGGCCTTCCCAATTCCACTATTTGAGCCAGTAACTATAACTACTTTACCAGAAAATCTCATTTTAATACCTGTCTTTAGTGTACAGAATTTTTTTTAAATATCTACGACTATAGAGTATACTGTTCTTGTGTTACTTATCATTATATATTACTCGGTTAAACTGCTTGCTATCCTTAAAGTTTTTCTATAGCGAAGTTATTCAAGAATAACAAAGGTTAATCGTATAGCTTGGAAACACTGCCTCTCTGATTCGGTACGTTGACTATAAATAGTTTTTTTTGTAATAATGGAGCCTGGTAGCTATTAATTATCTAGGGTTGACGAATAGTCGGTGTATTCTTTATAAATATATATTTTATCATTATCTAAACATATTATGTGGCATTGATTAGATGGGTTGTCACGTTTGTAACGTTTTCATTTTTAATGGTCGACATCCCAATAAGTCTTTATGTACTTGCTACAGTTTTTCACTAACTTGATGCTTTTCCCTTATTCTTGCTTTAAGTCCTGAAAAATACGCTTCGGAGGGTTCAGCCCCAGTGCTGATATCCCTGGTGTGATGCAGATACAGATGTTTTAATAGGTGAGAGCTTTGTATAATTAAAAATGTTTTATCTGTCTTGCATCCTCAAATGCCATGGAAATGATGGTCTACACGGATAGTGGGAAGTCCTCCATCTAGGAGGTAAATACACCAGGTTATGCGACTAAAAATTAAAAAAAATATGAAAAAATATGGTCACCTGTCCTCTAGATTCAATTTTTGAATGAATCGTAGCATAATGTACAGATTATTTGATATCATGCTATTCTTGAAACATTTATACGCAAAAATAACTGGGTCGCTCACCACTTATGCCTATATGCGTTCAATAATCATCAATTCTCGTGAGTAAAATTTCCCCAGGCCATCGAAAGGTCCGCTCAGTAAATTGACAATTTCTACTGCGCATGTGTCATGACCTACTTCAGGTTGTGAAACACTGGGCGAAATGGTAAATTTCAAGCTATTGGATTGGTCGAAAAAATTTTCAGTGGTAAATTCACAAACTGAGCCATGTTTCCGGGTACCGTTGTGCGCATGCGCGCCTTTGCGTGATTTGCTT